CCTGTCTCAAAGTAAAAAGGGCTGGGGATGTAGGTCAGTAGCCCCTGGGCTTGATCCCTAGTACTGCCAAAAATAAACAAACAAAAACCACCACAATGTGGAAATGAAAAGGAATAAAGACAGGGAGTAATAACCCTATGCACATAGATGACAGGTTAATTGCATATAAAAATGGAAAAGAGGGAACAGCCTTTCTTTAAAAACTTCTTTTTATTTATTTATTGAACATAGTGTCTTTGTGCTTACATCTCTAGTCTTTTTTTTTTTTAACACTGGGACAAGGTCTTCTTAAAGACTAGAGCTCAAACTTGCTTTCCTCCTGCCCCAGCCTCCCAGAGTGCTGGGATTACGGTGTGTGCTACCACTCCTGGCTGGAAAAAAAAAATTAAGATTTCTAACCAAGCCACACACTGTGCCACCCCTGTAATCCCAGTGCCTATAATCCCAGCTACTTGTGAGGCAAGGCAGGAAGTTGGGGAGTTTGAGGCCAGCCTGGATAATTTAGTGAGCCCCTCCTACAAAGGGAGAAAAGATTTCCAACTGGGAATCTCAATGGAGTAAGGGAACCCTGGAAAGGCAGTGTGTGGGGGCAGACCTGGTGTGCGGCTGCATGGGCAGCCCGGCTCTTGGCAGCCCGGCTCGCTCAGCAGGGCCAGGGCAAGGGTGAGTCTCGGTGGTGGACACTCGAGAGCTGACCATTGAGCCTCTGCTGGCCCCTTGGTAGAGTGAGTTCACGTGAAAGGACGTTGAAGAGCTCTTAGCACCTTCACAACATGGCTGTGACTGCTTCTACCCACAGTGGCCCAGCCACCCAATGGGACAGTCGTGCCTGCACCACTGGTGGGACAAGCCGGCGGGAGTGGGTTAGATAGATCAGAAAGATATTTTACATGCTGGATTATATGTTGCAGAGCTATAACAAAAATTAATTTGAGAGAGTCCTTGCTATGTGGTAAAGGCACTTTTAAGTGTGAAACAGTTTTTTTAATGTAGGAGAATGGTGGTACAGGTTACTGTAATCTGTCCATCTAACCTCATTCCAAACATCTTCATTGAAGATGTAGTGCCATTATTTAGGTACAAGTAATTTATCAGACTGTAGGAGCCATAAACCGTTTTTATGTCATCTCTTTAAAATGAATGCACCAGTTATACCTAAAATTACCAATAAAATTAATTTTTAAAAAAAGAGGGGCCGGGGATTTAGCTCAGTGGTTCTGCCGCCTGTCTTGCAAGTGCAAGGACCCGAGTTCGATCCCCAGAACCAAAAAAAAACTATGTCATTTTGGGGGGCCGGTGATTTAGCTCAGTGATTTTGCCACCTGGTGCGCAAACACAAGGACCCGAGTTTGATCCCCAGTACCCCCACCAAAAAAAGAAATAAAACTAGCCAGGGATTTAGCTCAGTGGTTCCGGCACCTGCCTCCACAGTGGAAGGTTCCGAGTTTGATCCCCGGTACCAAAAATAAAGAAAGAAAAAACGAAAGAATACTAAGCTATTTAGTAACACAATATTTAATGACATGAATGGAATAAAATGATTCTAAATTATATATTTATATTTGTAATACACATATACATGTGTGTATAAATATCACTGACTTTTTAAAATTTATTTTCTCATTTGAACAATGAGGAAATTGTCATTTGTATTATTCATTAAACTGTTACAAATGCAATACAATTTAGAACAACATCTAAATATACAAAAATAAAATATCAAGTATGTTCCCCAAAAAATGAATGCACCAAAAATAATAAAATAAATGTACTGCCCTAGATCATACATCTGGTGTGCTGGAGCCGAGTGGAATTAATACCTAGCTTCACAGTAGTGGATTAGCAAATGAAGAGAAGTGCTGTGAATCCTGTAGAGGAAAATAGGAAGTGTCCAGAAAATACTCCCTCACCTCCTGCCTGCCAAGTGCAAATTCCTGAGTTTGATCCCCGGTACCAAAAGGAAAAAAAATACTCCCACCCTTCTTTCCTTTCCTCCTGGCTTCTAGGTCTTTGTATGATGAGGCCCCTTTGGAGAGACTCCCACTTTCCTCCTGCCCCATCCTTAGTCGTCCACCCCTACTGGTTCCTTGTTTGATTTCTCTCTTTTTTTTTCTGCAGTACTGGGGATCGAACTCAGGATCTTGCGCTTGTGAGGCGCCACTGAGTGAAATCCTCAGTGCCTCCACTGGTTTCTATGATAAGCAGACAGCATATGTGGGCCCTGCTTCAAGACATTAGTCTCATCATCTGTCATTCCACCATTCTCAGTTCAAAATCTTTGGATTTTAAATTTAATTTTGAGACCCTCTTTTAAAATGCAAATACCCCTGAAAGAAGCCAGACCTTAGTTTTTAGCTAACATCTTGATTATCAGTTCACACCTCATTTGATGGCGAAGAATGAAACCCTGGCTAAAAAGGATCACCTTGAAGGAAACTAGCATTTATTGCAATTTTATTATTACTAACAGCTAAGATGTATGAGGGCCATATCATTAAGTGCCAGGAATTGTTCTAAGTGCTTTACAGATAGAAGTACATGTAATTCACTCAACAACTGTTAGTATGTATTTCTACCAGTATTTTACAGATAAGAAAACTGAATTATGTAAAGAATAAATCATTTGTCTGTAGTCACAGAGTAAAAGTGCAGCTTGGGTTCCAGAGCATGTTGCTTGCTGTGATTCCTCTCAACATCTCTCAGAGAGAAGACATCTCATCACAATACCCTTTTCGTCATTCTTACATCAAATAAAGTCATATTTTCAATTATAGACACCATTTCTTATTAAAGGTCAAGGACCTTCGTGTCATCTAAATAGATTTTTAGTAACAGCTGCAATGAAATAGGAAAGTTTCCTTGTAACCAAAGGAAATATATTTGCAGACTGGAAAAGTTTTGAAAAAGTCTGTAACTTAGCACATTCTTACGTTTCTTAGCTATTTTTACTTAAAACTTACACAATTAACCGTTCATTATTTCTGGAGGCTCTTTCTCCTGAAAGATGTGCAAAAAAGAGAGGTCATGGATGAGTCCAAGGTGTTTGCCTCAGTACAGCACCTAGAAGGAAACAGGATCCTGGAGTGTATTCATCAGTGATGTCCCATTAGCAGCTATTGTTGAATACTTGGGGTTTTGATTTGACCAGAGTTTAGATCCCAGGAAATTACAAGGGAAGAGAAGTGAACTTAGAGTATCACTTGAAATACGTATACCAGTGAGGGTTGGGACTGGCTGGCCTGCAGTCCATACTCAGGGTACCCGATGTCTAGAAGCTACCAAGTGAGAGGCTCTGGTCATCAGGAGACTTCACATAAAGAGGTGAAAAGAAACCAAAGTCAGCTTTACCTGTGCAGTTTTTCTGGAGCCCTGGAGGTGGCAGCTGCAGGTGAATGTCATACCATCTCATTGTCACGTTGCATACGACCCCAGTGTCCTGTAACTAGGTCCTCACTTGCACCCTGAAATTTGTATTTAATTATATTCAGTCAGTGAAGAACCATGTTTTATTATCGCTACTTTTTAAATAGAGTTCTGTTCATTATTTAAGTACCTGTCACAGAAGTGTTCTTGACTTCAACTGATTAAGAAGAAAGTTCTGGATAAAATATTAATAGGGTTGTGTTATTTTTTAAAAGAATAAAGCCAGGTGTGGTGACACAGGCCTGTAGTCGCAGCACTTGGCTGACGCAGGAGGATCACCATGAGTTTGAGGCCAGCCTGGACTATATAGTGAGTTCAAAACCAGCCTACATAGTGAGGACCTGTCTCAAGAAAAACAGAAAAGAATAAAACTATTAATTTCAGGTATGCTTAGACCTTCTACAATATAATCACTCATTGTTTTGCCATCCATTTACTATTCTCTTCATTTACATACACATACTTATACATTCCTGGGAATATTCAAATACAAAAGTATATTCTCTTCTGCCAAGTGCAATGGGGCACACCTGCAATCCCAGCTACTTAGGAGGCTGAGACAGGAGGAACACACATTTGAGGCCAGCCTGGGGAACTTAGCAAGACCCTGTTTGCAAAAAAAAAAGCATGAGGGACATGGCTCAGTGGCAGAGCACCTCTTGAGTTCAGTCCCCAGTACCACAAACACACGCCATATTCTCTTCTTTCTTTCTCCCCAAGACAAACTGTCAGATCCATCCAGAGTATGTTACATAGTCAGGAATTAAAGTTATCAATTTACTAAGTGGAAATCCAAGTTTAGTAATTAAATCAGATATTCAATATAATTCATTTAAGTAAATAAAATACTAAGGTTTATCAGTATAGCTACCATGGGGCTGGGGATTTAGCTCAGTGGTTTCGCTGCCTGCTGCTCAAGCACAAGGACCTGAGTTCGATCCCTGGTACCAAAAAAAAAAGAGAGAAAGTATAGCTACCATGTATTGAGCATTTGCCATAGATCAGGTAAATATTTTACATTTCTCTCAATCATTGAACAATTCTACTGACGTTGAGATGATTTTCCCTCTTGTGGATGAGATTTAGGGAATTAAAACAGTTCCTGGAAAGCATACGTCTCACAGTATGCCACAGAGGTAGAACTCAGACACGTCCATTTAACGTTGATTGTGCTAGTGACTCCACAGAGAGCCCAGAGTATTTGTAAATATTAGTGGGATATGCTTTGGTCTTGGTAAATTTTCAAGACTAGAAATCTAGTTTTAGAAACTACCCTCAGACTTGGGTAAAAAGAAAGAGCTCTTACTCTAGTTAAATTAAAAGTGGTCACTACCCATTTTCACCACTAGATGGTGGCAGAAAATTAAGTAGAAAAAGTGAAATGTGTTCTTTAAGGACAAGGTGCATGAGAGATAAGGGTCGTCAAGAGCAAGTGGAGAGTGAGAACTGGGAATGGTATGACAAGTGCCCAGAAATTAGAAGCAGAGGGAGCAAATATATATTCTTGGGAAAGAACCGTATAAAAAAAAAATACTGGGTTCTTTATTTTATTTAAAAATTGACCTTGTTCTGCTTAGTTTTCAGGTGCTTCAGGTGTTGTGAACAGACTTGTTTGGATTATGTGTTTCCCGGATGGACTAAATGAATGTTAATGATGGATACGTGCAAACACATTGGGCAGTTGCAGCTTGCTCAAGACCATTCCATCCTCAGCCCTCAGAAGTGGCATTGTGTGGACTGCAGTACGACCGAGTCCATCTGGGCCTGCCTCAGCTGTCCCCACGTCGCCTGTGGACGCTACATTGAAGAGCACGCACTCAAGCACTTTCAAGAAAGCAGTCATCCTGTTGCGTTGGAAGTGAACGAGATGCATATTTTCTGCTACCTCTGTGATGATTATGTCCTGAACGACAATGCAACTGGAGACATGAAGTTACTACGGAGTACGTTAAGTGCAATCAAAAGTCAAAATTACTGCACCACTCGTAGCGGAAGGGTTTTACGACCGATGGGCACCAGTGACGATTCTTACTTCTTACACGATGACGCCCAGCCTCCACTTTGGAGTGAGGGTCAGGTGTGTGCTGCTCTTTGGCACCGGAGGAGAGTGCTCCTGGGGAAAATCTTTCGCACTTGGTTTGAACAGTCACCCATTGGAAGAAAGAGGCAAGAAGAGCAATGTCAGGAAAGCATAGGAGCAAAAAGGGAAGTGAAAAAAAGGCAGCAAGAACTGTTAGACTATCAAGTAGAAGCAGAATGGGAAGGTTCGCCTCCCAGAAAGAGCGTACGTTTGCATGGTGCAGCTCTGTCCACCATGACGGAGACTGCTCCTGTTCAGCTCCCGCCACAAACCCCAGCATCTCCAGCGAAGGAGAAAATCGCACCTCCTACCTCAGAAGACGGAAGGTGGAAGAAAGCTGGTGACGCCTCAGCTAAACGAAGGCCGGTGGTAACTCCTGGTGTAACCGGATTGAGAAATTTGGGGAATACTTGCTATATGAATTCTGTTCTTCAAGTACTGAGTCATTTACTTATTTTTCGGCAGTGTTTTTTAAAGCTTAATCTGAACCAGTGGCTGGCTGTGACTGCTGGTGATAAGACAAGATCTTACAGCCACCCTTCCGTGACAGATGCCATGGTGTATCAGATGAGTGAGTGCCAAGAAAAAGAGCCAGGCTTCCTGTGCTCCCGACACCCAAGTATACCCTCAGGACTGAGTGGTGGGGCATCAAAAAGTAGAAACATGGAGCTTACTGAACCAAGGGAGCCAAGTCCACAATACTTCTCTCTCTGCCACGAATTGCATACCTTATTCCAGGTCATGTGGTCTGGAAAGTGGGCCCTGGTCTCCCCGTCTGCCATGCTGCACTCGGTGTGGAGGGTGATTCCTGCATTTCGTGGTTATGCCCAGCAAGATGCTCAGGAATTTCTTTGTGAACTTTTGGATAAAATACAAAATGAACTAGAGACAACGGGTAGGGTGCCAGCGCTTCTCCCCACTTCTCAAAGGAAACTTATCAAGCAAGTTCTGAATGTTGTAAATAATATTTTTCATGGGCAGCTTCTTAGTCAGGTATGGATCTTTTAAAATCTTACCTCCATCTTGAGGAATTCATTAAATGGAGCCTAAAGATGTACATTCTGTATACATCTCCTGTATTAGAGCTTGTGCCACTTGCAGATCAAAATAGTTTGCTTTTTGAAATGTGTGTAAAGAACTCAGCCCCTCGTTTGCAGTTCTTTCCTTCATTGGAAGTAATCAAAAGCTTTCTGAGGGCATAGAATTAGGGAAGTTTATTAGGTTAGCGATATTCATTCTCGGGGTGGGGACATTGAGAGCGGGGAGAGGTGCTCCTGTCCTGGCAACAGCTGTGGTGCTCACTCAAGCAGTGGCCCTAGAGGGCAAAGTCCTGCTCGAGTAGATGGGGAAATGTGACCACGGATGTGGCTTCATCCAGAGTAATAACCCTAACTGGTCTTCCTTCCTGTCTCTTACTACCCTAAGTTTCTGCAAAACCAGATCCCCTCCGTAGTGAGGGGGCTCTCGCCCTTAGTGTAAGGCTCCTGCCTTTCCATAGCACACAGCTTCACTGGTTTTAGTGGGGTAATTAGGCCTTTGTCATTTCCTGCCCCCTGCACACCTGTTCTGTCATTTCAGCTTTCCACTGTAAATCGCCATTTGATTTGTACAGTACTTTTGTAGAATATTGCTTAACTATTTCAGATGCAATTCTTAAGGAGTAACTATGAAGTTTATTTCAGTTAATGTTTCAGAAATGTTGGGCCGGGGATTTAGCTCAGTGGTTTCGTTGCCTGCTGCGCAAGCACAAGGACCCAAGTTCGATCCCCGGTACCTGGCGGGGGGGGGGGGGGGAGAAGAAATGTAGATTCTACATTGTGCCAATTTGGAAATAAGAGTTGTACCTATTTGTTACATATGCAGTTGTTGTTGTTGTTGTTTGGTACTGGGGATCGGACTCAGATCCTTGCATTTGTTGTGCAGCAGGCGGCGAAACCACTGAGCTAAATCCCCGGCCCCTGCAGTTTTGTTTTTGCACCGTCTTTCTGTCATTTCTATCTTTTCTATGTAAAAGCTTTGCAATATGCAGTTGTATAAAACCTATATAATACCGAAAATATGTACAGAAGAAAGTAAGTCATTCCCTCGTCACCAAATTCCACCATCCACTGATAAAACTGTTGTTTTGGTACATTTTCTTTTCATCTTTTTTCCCCTTATCTGTGCATACATGTTTTTCACCAAAAATTGGTTATTTGGCTTTTTTTGGGGGGGGGGGTGTTTTGGTACCAGGGATCAAACTCGGGACCTTGCGCTTGCGAGGCAGGTGCCAGAACCACTGAGCTAAGTCCCCGGCCCTTGGCTTCTTTTTTTAATGGCACTGGGGATTGAACCTAAGGGCCCTCTACTACTGAACTACAGTACCACTGTTTTAAAAAATATTTTGCTTTGGGGCAGAGTCTTGCTGAATTTCCCAGGCTGGCTTTGAGTTTATGACCCTCCTGCCTCATCTTCCCTAGTAGCTGGAATACCACTGTGTTGGCATTTGCCTGTTCCTTACTGTTTCAAGGGTTTCCTATGGTCATTACAATATCTGATCATTGAAAACATTGCAGTATCTATTATGTTTACAGTATAACAGTCGTCCCATTGTTGACTTAGACCATCTCCAATTTTTCACTTATCATGTCATGTTAAAGTAGTATTTTTTTCTGATGATACCCTTTGTTTGTTTGTTTGTTTGTTTTTGTGGTACTAGGGATTGAACTCAGGACCTTGCACTTGACAGGCAGGCATAGTGCCACTGAGCTACAGCCCCTGGCCCTGATGATATCCTTATGACAGAGGCCTGTAAGTAGAATTACTTTGTTAAACGGTAGGACTTTTTTTGGTACCAGGGATCGAACTCAGGACCTTGTGCTTGTGAGTCAGGCAGCAGAACCACTGAGCTAGATCCCCAGCCCTAGGACTTTTGATACTTAATAACAAATTTCTTTTCAGAAAGTTTGTAGGGGTTTTGTTGTTGTTGTTGTTGTTGTTTTGTGCCAGACAAAGTGACATGTGGCGTATAATTTCAGCACTCAGGAAGCTGAAGCAGGAGGATCATGAGTTCAAAGCCAATCTGGGCTATCTACCAAGGTCACAGCCAGCCTGGATTGCATAGCAAGATTCTGTCTCAAAAACACAAAACGAACAGAAAAACGACTTTTGAAAAAATCATTTTACATTTTCAGTAGTATAAGAAGTGCTTGTTTTTTCTTTATAAATAAACTTTAAAATTAATAAAAATTGTCATAAGAACATTTTTCTCTTCCCTTTTTTCAAGGAGAGTGGTTACAGGGGAAGGAACCCAGGACCACCCATGTGCTCCGTGGTGGCACTGCACTGCACCCTCTTTCCCTTTTAGGCATGCGAACTCTGCAGAAGCTGGTTCTCAGGCAATTCAGTTGGTTGCAGGAATGAATGGCTTTGGTTGGTTGTTTGTTTTGAGACAGGGTCTCACTATGTAGTCCAGGCTGGCCTTGAACTCACAGGCTGCCCTCAAAGTTGCAGTGGTCCTCCTGCCTCAGCTTCCTGAGTGTTGGAATTATAGACTTGTGCCACCACACCTGGTTTAATGTATTTTGTTTTTTAATTCAAGAAAACTTGTAATCCCAGCTCTCTAGGAAGCTGAGGCAGGAGGATCACAAGTTGGAGCCCAGTTTAGGCAGCTAAGTGAGACCCTGTCTCAAAAATTTAAAAGAGGGCGGTGGGGCCCGGGATTTAGCTCAGTGGTTCCGCCGCCTGCCTCGCATGTGCAAGGTCCCGAGTTCAATCCCTGGTACCAAAAAAAAAAAAAAACCAAAAGAGGGCTGTGGATGTAGCACAGTGCAAAAGGCTCTAGGTTCTAGTGCTGCCAAAAACAATACAAGTGACTGCCTTCCACTCCACTGCTGGTGGAGGAAGTGATATCACAGGTCCCATGTGAGCGGATTGCAACACTTGCAGCTGCCTGGAGAGAGGGAGCCCATGGCCCACGTCAGAGCTGCGGTGGGGAGGAGCTGCCGCCGCAGGGCCCAGGACTGGGCCCTTCGGGAGGAGGAAAAGACGAGAAGATGGCGGCCGGCCCCAGGGCTGCCGACGGGAACGGACGTGGAGATCTGCAAGATCAAGCCGCTCGTTGATAGCTTGGAGGCGGCCCGCGGCAGTGACACCAGCTTGATATCATTGATCATTCCTCCCAAAGGCCAGATTTCATGAGTGGCCAAACTGGTAGCGGATGGGTTTGGAACTGCTTGTAACATTAAGTCCCGAGTAAACCGCCTCAGGCTTGGGAGCCATTACATCTGCACCTCAAAGCCTCAAACTTCGCAACAGAGTACCTCCAAATGGCCTGCTGGTTTACTGTGAAACAGTTGTAACAAGAAGGAAAGGAGGAGAAAGTCAGCATTGACTTTGAGCTTTTCAGACCAATTAATGCATCATTGTATCTGAGTTACGACAAATTCCACACAGAGGCTCTTACAGCACTGCTTTCAGACTCCAGCAAGTCTGGCTTCATTGTAGCGGAGGGGGGCGGTGCACTTTTGCACACTCCAAGGAATGCAGGAGAAGTCCTGCACAAATTCACTGGCTCTGCCAAAGAGATATGGTAGAGGGGGTCAGTCAGCCTTGCATTTTGCCCATTTAATAACGGAAAAGCTGCATAACTATGTTCGGAAAGTAGCAGGAACTGCTGGACAGCTGTTTATTTCTGGGAACAAAGTGAATGTGGCTGGGCTTGTTTTAGCTGGATCGGCTGACTTTAAAATTGAACCAAGTCTGAGGGCTGGGAATTTAGCTCAGTGGTTCTGTCGCTTGCCTTGCAAGTGCAAGGACCTGAGTTCGATCCCTGGTACCAAAAAAAAAAAAAAAATTGCACCAAGTCAATCTGATATGTTTGATCAGAGGTTGCAATCGAAAGTTTTAAAGTTAGTCAATATATCCTCTGGTGGTGAAAATGGATTCAGCCTTATCTACTGAAGTCCTCTCCAACGTGAAATTCATTCAAGAGAAGAAATTAATAAGACGGTACTGTGATGAAATTAGCTAGGACACAGGCAAGTACTGTTTTGGAGTTGAAGATACGGTAAAAGCTTTGGAGATTCTAATAGTCTATGAAAATCTGATATAATGAGATATGTTCTTCAGTGCCAAGGCACAGAAGTGGAGAAAATTCTCTATATAACTCCAGAACAAGAGAAGAATAAATCTCATTTCACAGACAAAGAGACAGGACAGGAACATGAGCTGATTGGAAACATGCCCCTTTTGGAATGGTTTGCAAACAACTATAAAAAACTTGGAGCTATGTTGGAAGTTGTTACAGATAAGTCACAAGAAGGATCCCAATTTGTGAAAGGACTTGGTGGAATTGGAGGTATCTTGCAGTACCAAGTAGATTTACAGGGAATGGAATACCAAGGAGGAGATGATGAATTTTTTGACCTTGATGACTACTAGGTAGACAACATGGGTCCGGCAAAACATGCCTCACCCTCCAGCATCCAACCCAAGGAGCATACCCGTGCTGGAATCCAAACAGATCCCGGCCTTACAGTTGAACATTTCCAGAACCTAATCTGTGAGCATTGGATACTGAAAAGAAAACCGAAACAAAACCAGACCCAGCCCTACACTTTGGTTTGTCATGGCGTCAGCACAGCAGCCTACAACTAAGTTCCTAATTGCCACTTTGGACTAAGTTTAAAAAAGAATCCCAGTTTTTACTTTTACTCAGTGAAATTGGTTGCTCTTGTATTTTATGAAAAAAATGATTTTTTTAACCTTCATACATAGAAGCAAAAATACTTTAACTGCTGTAAACCTTCAAAAGTTAATAGAAGTGAGATGATACGGATTTGTTTCTGATTTTGATTGGAGGAAAATGAAGTTGCTGCATTTCACAGTGACCCATTTACATGGCATTCTCAGCTTAGACTGCATAAGAAGAAATGTATGTGGTGAAATGTCGGAACCATTTCTCTCCTGGTCTCTATTTAATGTTGGAAGGGTGAGCTAATAGGAAGCAATCTCAACTTCACTCCCTCACACCCCTCCCCGGACTGTTAGTTTCCAGGATGCAGATTGCATTGGGATGGATGTCAAGCTGACTCATGAAGCCTTGGGGCCGGAGCACTGTTTACTTCCACCTGTTTGCAACACATTTGTACCCAGCATTTGGAAGCCTTGTGTCACTCACTCACTTTGACAAGGGTCCCATAATCTCAGCCTGCTACAAACTGGTGTGGGGTGGATATGACAGGGCTTCCATGCTATTCCTGGGATTGGAGAAATAAAACATGCAATTTAAGTGAAAGTAACAAAAAACAATACAAGTGGAGGATGAGGGGTTGGGGACTAAAGCTAAGTGTAAAGGGCCTGGGTTCACATCTAGGTACAGGAAATATATACGGCCAATTATTCAGATTTCTAATGGTGCATTTTCGTTTATTTACTGACAATGGCCAAGTGCAACGAGAACATTTTGACAGGATTGTCATCTGAGTAACTGATATTTTTATTTGCAGGTTACATGTCTTGCATGTGACAACAAATCAAATACCATAGAACCTTTCTGGGACTTGTCATTGGAATTTCCAGAACGATACCAGTGCAGTGGGAAAGATGCTACCTCACAGCCATGTTTGGTTACTGAGATGTTGGCCAAATTCACAGAAACCGAAGCTTTAGATGGAAAAATCTACGTATGTGACCAGTGTAACTGTGAGTAGACATGTTCTCTGTGCTTTTCTTAGACGACCAAAGAGAAATACAAGTTCGACGAAGCTGAAGAAATTCCCCATGTAGCTATTATGAAAGTAACTTTAGTTCAGCAAAAGAAATCAGACTAGACACTTCTACTTTACTCAGTATTTGTGAGCTGGGTTTCTTTGTTTATTTTTTGCCTTATTGATGACACTCAAAATTTTTTATCCTCTAGTCAATTGTGAGAGAAGGGATTCCTAAAATAAGAAATTTAGGGCCGGGGATTTAGCTCAGTGGCACCATGCCTGCTTTGCAGGCACAAGGTCCCGAGTTTGATCCCTGGTACAAAAAAAAAAAAAAACAGAAGAAGTGGCAGAGAGGAACAGTAAAAGGGAAGCATGTCATATAGTATGAATGAAACACGCGCTTTGTGGGTTTCTTTGCTATGTATCAAGCCACTGAAATGCATGCATAGATAATATGTGTGTTTTACATACATATACTAGGAAATGACATATAGTTGGATCGTTTTTGTGGAGATTGGCCTCAAAACAGCAAGGATTTATTCAAAAGCATCGACCGGGTCCATGAAGATCCACTATGATAAGGGCTGCCTGGGAAGGGGGTCCACAGGAGCCCCCTGAAACAGAGGCACTCCCCTCCAGGGAGATAGTGTGGGAACCGTAGCAGATGTGCTGTGTCATCTCCTCTCTTAAGAATGTGTACTTGGCATTTTAGTGTTCAGATTTTGTACTTTCAGGTATTCTCTGTAATTTTCGTGTTTTCAAAGAGTGATTCTAGAGCTTAATAATTTTATTTTTTGGAGACAGGGTCTCACTGTGCAGTCCAGGCTGGCCTCGAGCTTACAGCAGTCCTCCTGCCTCAGCCTCCTTAGTCTTGGGGTTATAGATTCTAGAAGTTTAGATACTGAATTTTTTTCCCAGCTCTGGGGCTCAAACGCAAAGCCTCACACATGTTAGGCAAGTGCTTTACCACTGATCAACGTCACCAGCCCTGATAGAAAGAAAACTTTTAATGACCAAGAAGCACTCACACACACTTGTAATACTAGCACTGAGAGAGGCTGAGGCAGAAGGATTGCAAGTTCAAGCCCAACCCAGGCAACTTAATGAGACTATCTCAAAATAAAGCGGACTGGAGAAATGTAGCTCAGTACTATAGCACCCCTGAGTTTGATTCGCAGTACCCCCCCCAAAGAAAACAAATGTTCCAGTATTGAAGAGATGACACCTCAGTTGATGACTTTCTAGAATGACTTACATTGGCTTTTCTGAGTGTTGTCTAATGTAAATGCTTATAAAGGAGCCTAAGATTTAAAAGGTTTTAGAAAAATAATTTACCTTCATCAAATTTGTTTGATGAAGTATTTTTTCCTTGACATAAATGTGAATATTTTCAGATGGTTGCCTCACTAAATGTGGGGGTAGATAGATATCACGAAGACAGAGCAAGGTAGCATGCGTCTCCCAGGGCAACCCAGCCAGTGCTAGAAGAGCCACTTTATACCCAGAGGCAGGGTTCCAGGGTGGAAGTCAGGGACTTGGCATCCCACACAAAGCCCTCTGTGGACCCTCCTAGGTCTTGGAAGTGCCCTGGAGGGATCCTCAGGGGCCAGCCGGGTGGTGGGCAGCACAGCCCCTGAGGGGAGCTCCGCCTCCTTGGGAGGCCAGCAGTGCTGTGGCTGGAGTCACTTGTCCTGGACCAGGAGAGCACTTTGGCTGTCAGCAGTGCAGCCAGAAACTGCAGGATACGGCCCCCAAGTAGACCTCTAGAGAGGCAGAGGAGACAATAGAAAGAACCCGAAGTTCTACTTACAGCCTAGAGCTAAAAGAGCAAAACTAAGGCAGCTGAGGGACAGCCTGGGGTGCAGCGCTGCCTGTGGCTGCTTTCTTGGCCCGTCAGCCCAAGGGAGGAGGGCTGTTCCAGGCAGCCCTGTGCCCCAGGTCCCGAGCAGCCTCTGCGAACTGTTAACAGGAGTTTGGGAAATGAATATTAAGGGGTAAGGAGGGGAGGTTTTAGCTTTTCCTTATTGATTGGTATATCCAGCTCCTCTTGTAAATACAGAGTAGTATTCATTCTGTTATCCTGTTTGCAAGGTTGTTAATACATGATTTTCATGTTTCTGTGTGTGTCTAGTGTGACTGGGTCCTAAGTTTCTTTTCTGAGTTGTGCAGAAGTTTCTGGAGGCAAAGCCTGTGTCTGTCTTCAGCACAGTACAGCGCCTGCAAACAGAAGCTGTTGAATTAATCCGTGTCTAAGTCAGGTACCGCTCCCTTCGTTTTCCTGTGTCCTTAACTCCATTCCCATTCTCTTGGACATTCTAGCGAAGCGTAGAAGGTTCTCCTCCAAGCCAGTCACACTCACCGAAGCCCGGAAGCAGCTCCTGGTCTGCCGCTTGCCGCAGGTTCTCAGGCTACACCTCAAGCGGTTCAGGTGGGTAGCAGAGCCCGGGGGGACACATGTGACAGGGTATACATTAGTGCTCCGAGAGGACTTGTGCTTTTTGTTTTTAAAGGAAAATTCTGACAGTTGCCTTTGGTCATGAACGGCACCACGGTCCCATGCAGAGTGCACTGCTAACAGCAGCTCCCTCGTGCTTCTGTCCGCCGGGAGTGCGAATTCTGCTCGAGGTGCTTAACAGTCAGCATACTGAAGATAGCATTTTAAAATTTGCTCAGTTGCCCTGTTCTTGGAAAATACTTGGTTAAAGGTGTAGCAGTTCAAAGCAGTTTAGGAAAAGCCAAAACTCTAGCCAGGTATGGTGGTGGACGCATATCTATCTGTAATGCCAGCTAGTTAGGAGGCTGAGGCAGGAGAATCACAGTTCCAAGGCCAGCCTGGGCAATGTGGGGAGACCCTGTCTCGGAAATGAAAAGGGCTGGGGATACTGTTCAGCACTCCTGTGTTCAATCCCCACGACTGTAAAAAACAAACTAAACAAACAAAAAAAACCCCTTTAGTCTGCTGAAATACATTTAGTCAGGTGAATTGAGTATTTTTGTTTTAATTAAAAGAACACCTGTTTTTTAGAAATGTAAGTACTGTGTTACAGAAGTAAAATTATCTGTAATGCTGGGATTATAGGCGTGCACCACCACACCCAGCATGTGAGTGCTTCTTGATGCAACATGTCCTGTGTTTTTCTTTTTTTGTTTTTGTTTTTGGTACTGGGGATCGAACTTGGGACCTTGCACTTGCAAGGCAGGCGGCAGCACCACTGAGCTAAATCCCTGGCCCTGTCCTGTGTTTTTCTGAGGGATATAAGCCTAGGATCCTTTCTCAGACTTCTGATCAGGAGCCAAACTGCCCTGACTGGATGGTTCTCTGATTTCACAACTCTGTCACCCGTAGGAAAATCCTGGCTGGCCACAAAAAGTCACCTGAACTTCACGTTTTGCAAGATGTGATTGAAGTTATCAGCCACACTCACGTCCCTGCCCTTAACTCATGTCTGCATGCAGCCCACGCTTTCCCTCACACCAGCAGTGAGGCGGCTGAAGAGTGTCCCTGGCCAGGTTCTGGGTTACAGAGGCAGTTAGGGATTTCTTTCAGAAAAGCAGTCACCAAGGCAGCACATTTCAGAGCAGAGAACGAGTCACACACTTGCTTGTGCGTGGCGCAGACTCGGCCTGCTCAGCGAGCTCATGTGTCCCTTCAGGGGAGAAGGGCTGTGTTCAGGTCAGCAGATGAAGTGGCTGCAGGCAGAGAAACCTGGGATGATGGGGCTGACAAGTGAACATTGAGATTATTAGCATGCTTCAAGCTACTGAGCCAGGGCTTGCCTCTCCTAGCTGCTGCTTCATGATCTCCTGTCTCTGCTCTCAAACGTACTCAAGCCTCATTTCCCAACGCAAATGGCCGCACACTGACACCAAGTGTATTTGTGACCTATTTGTGAATATGTCAGGTGAATCGACTTTGTCTGACAGTGACCTTAAAAGTGTTTTGGGGGCCGGAATTTGGTTCAGTGGTTCTGGCCCCTGCCTCACAAGCGCAAGGTCCCAAGTTTGATCCCCAGTACCCAAAAAAGAGAAAAAGAGGTGTGCTTGAGACAACTTCACATCTCCATATATTCTATTTTAAAGTCACAGCAGAGGCCGGGGATTTAGCTCAGTGATTCCGCTGCCTGCTTCACAAGCACAAGGTCCTGAGTTCGATCTCCAGTACAAAAAAAAAAGTCACACCAGAATATTTTGAGATTCCCACAAAAGCACTGACAGGTCTGTTTCCATTTCCAGCATCTCATCTGTGAAGTGGGGTTTTCTGCAGTGACAGTAACCAAAACAAACTTGCAGAGTAGCCTGGACATTATCGACACACTTCAGTGTCACTGTGCCCCGTCGCCCCCAGATGGGACTGTCTAGCTAAACAAGCTAGGTCCGCATTACGGTGAGGTGTGCAATTATTTCATGAGGTATCAGCGTGATAATTATACAGTGCACAATAAATGTAATGCACTGAATCACCCTAAAACCATCCTCCCAAAATTCTTCCAAAAAACTGGTTCCTGGTGCCAAAAAGGTTGCAGACACTGTCTTAGTGGACAAGGGGGACAGCCGGGTGGGAGAGAGGCACAGGCCAAGGCACTGGGGAGGGGGCCATGCTCACACGCTCCCGACACCACCCTCCAGGAGCCCCGGGCCCCAGCCAGCTGGCCGCCCTGCTGCGGGCCATGTACGAAGAGTCCCCCGAAGACATGCGGACAGCAGGCTGATCCCCAGTGCAGCGTCGGTCAGCGGTGGCCTGGCGGTGGTGCCTGCATCCTCGCCTCGCGAGTCTGCAGTGATGTCCTGTCAGCAGGGGCCGGTTAAGGGAGCAGGTGGTGGCGGGGGCGAGCCCAGCCCCCAGCCCCTTCCTGTCTGCTTCTCTCACTGCTTCCTGGCTGAGGTGTTCCTTCCTTGGAGCCAGCCGACCATGGACTGAAACCCTGAGCCAAGGATCAATCTCTTTTTCTCAGGTACTTGGCAGCAGTTACAAAAGGCTGACACCCCCAAGCCCACATTGTTTTTTTGGGGCCGCTGCTTCAGACTGAGCTACTCTCCCAGTCCTCCTCCGTGGGGTTTATGGAGGCTTCACTGTGCAGATGTGATCAAGCCCATCACGGGCTGGCTGTGGGTGTCAGCATGACCTTCAGCCTCTGTCGCCTTCCCAGCCAGTGCCCCTCTGAAGCTGCCCAGGGGCTGGCAGCCATGGTCACCTCAGGGCCATGCAAGGAAGGACACTGGGCACCTCAGAGTGCCCTGGTGTTGTTTGTTGGTGTGGATTTTTTCCCCCTCCACACCTGACTGAGAAAGATACAGGTTATATCTCCCATCTGGGATGTCCCTTCCTACTGGGAAAGGACAGGAAGGAATTAAAAACTTCTGGAGCCCTGACTTTTCCTGTTAGGAGAGGGAAATGCCCTTAGGGTTTTTAATTTTTCTGAAGGTTTTTTTTTTTTACCCCCAATACCAGGGATCAAACTCAGGACCTTGTGCTTTCAAGGCAGGCGCAGTACCACTGAGCTAAATCCTCAGCCCTTCCTAAAGTTTTTCTTCCTATCTTACCAAACTCCAGAACACAAGTTATTTTAAAATCTGACTGGACCTGTTTGGTAAATAAGGTAAATCCCTCCATTTATAGTCAACTATGTCTTTGTGGAGGGGGGGAGTGAGACGGTCTCACTAATGTGGCCCAGGCTGTCCTTGAATTTGTGGTGATCCTTCTGCCTCAGCCTCCCGAGTGCTAGGCCTATAGGCATGCGCCACCATGCTCGGCTAGTCATCTCTGTTTTAAAAGGATATTTTATGTCACTTGTATGGTGTATAGGATTCCTTGAATTTCATTGCTTCGTTGTTAATGACTATCCTAGCGCATGGTAATTTTCCGATTCTGCTCTGGTTTCCTCCCAGGTGGTCAGGACGTAATAACCGAGAGAAGATCGGTGTTCATGTCGGCTTTGAGGAGATCTTAAACATGGAGCCCTATTGCTGCAGAGAGACCTTGAAGTCGCTCAGACCTGAATGCTTTCTGTACAACCTGTCTGCCGTGGTGATGCACCATGGGAAAGGGTTCGGCTCGGGACACTACACTGCCTACTGCTATAACTCTGAAGGAGGTACAGACAGGAAAAATGATTGATCTTGGCCTAGGTTTTTTTTTTTTTGGTACTGGGATTGAACTCGGGTCCTTGTGCGGCGAAACCACTGAGCTAAATCCCCAGCCCAATCTTGGCTTAGTTTTGAAAGTTGATGTTTGGGCTTCAGTGATTTCTAAATTGCCTTCAAATTATATTAAGCAAAGAATGCTTCTGATACAAAAGAAAGTATTAGTTCCTGCAGGTTTGTAGTTCTTTTTATTATTTAAGGGCTGTGAGGACAGGGTAATGAAGACAGTTTTGTTAATGAAAAGTCAGGCCAGGTGTGGTGAAGCATGCCCATAATCCTAGCAGTCTAGGAGGCTGAGGCAGGAGGACTGCAAGTTTGAGCCCACCCTGGACAACTTAGTGAGACCCTGAATTAAAATTAAGTGCTGGGGGTGTAGCTCTGTGCAAAGACCCTTTCTTTGTTCAATCCCTGGTACCACACACACACACACACACAAAATCAGGTTTTCTTAAAGTATGCTTCAAGGAGTAAGTCCTTATGTTTATTGGTTTATTTCAATTAATCTTGTTAAAGAACAGGGAATCTACTGAACTGGGCGAATCATAGATATTAGAAACAAACATAAACATCCCGAGTACTATTCCCAGTACCAAAAAAGAAACAAACTTAAGAGTGCAGGTTTCCCCAACATGGGAACGGGTCAGGTGCTCTTGTCAGGCAGGTTTGGTAACCTCAGAGTAGGCACCACCCCAGCTGCCTCATCAAGGGATAAAAGTTTCTAACCCTTCTGAGCTCTGCTTTTGTGGCTCCTCCAGGCTTCTGGGTGCACTGCAACGACTCCAAGCTGAGCATGTGCACCACGGCCGAGGTGTGCAAGGCCCAGGCCTACATCCTGTTCTACACCCAGCGCGGCCCCGAGACCGGACATCTGGAGCCCCCAGCGGACAGCCAGCACCCCAGTGATGCCGCAGACGCCCCTTCTCCAGCTGACCAGGATGGCGGTTTACTTCCTGAAATCTGTACACAGACTTTGTAAAGGGCTGTTAAAATTTTGAGCTTTTTTAACTTACAAATCAGTGCACACTACATTTATACATTTTGTATTTAACAAAACTTTTTTACAGAGACAAAACACAAATACATGTTTTTCAAGTGCTTGGTTATTTTAAACTGTTTACCTCAGGCTCATGTTACCTCTTACCTTGGATGTCTTAATTGGCTCACATCATGAATTTGTGCAATCTACTAAAGAAATGCAGGGAGGCATTTTATATACATTTGTTTATCTTTTGTAGCTGCTTTCTATACAAACTGTAAATAGATGGAAAATTGGACAGTTTCTTCACAAATAGTCTTAACCAAAAAAAGGACAAGGACATTTCTTGCAGGCCATTTGTATACTGAAGTCACTTTGCCTTGTGAAGGGAGCTAAGCTAAGGCACTGAAAGCAGAATATGAAGGCATCACTTATACTCGGCAGTCACCCTCGCTGACATTCCTGAGACTCTGCACATGACGGGGCTCAGAAGAGACTTTAATTTGGTTAATGGAATTTGATTTAAAATGTTAACAATTGGAGGCTGAGGCAGGAGGATCGCTGTGAGTTCGAGGCCAGCCTGGGCTACATAGTGAGCCCCAATCTCAAAAAACGAACAACAAAAATTTTAACAGTTGTTCTTTATTTGGCATAGTCAAACTATATCTAAATGAAAAGGGCAGATTTACAAATGTATTTTTAAGTGAACTTTGTAACTATGGATCCAAAAAGAAAAGGAGGGCTGGGACTTACTTGAATTTACCAAACCAGTATGTGCTGTTATCTTTGGGTAGGAGTTCATTCTGTATGTTTGATTACATTAGATCTCTTAAAGCTTTGTATAGCTTGAGATTGTTAGTTCCAGGGAATAAAAAAGTCTTGAAAAAAAACAGGCTGGAGAAAGCTGTTCAAGATTGGCAACTGGGCTACGTGTGTAGCATCCATTTTTTTTTTTTTTTGTACCGGGGATCAAACTCAGGTCCTTGAGCTTGCAAGGCAGGCAGCGAACCACCGAGCTAAATCCCTGGCCCTGACACTCTTAAAAATACAGTAAAAAGTATCTAAATGTGCATGAAGAGCACAGTGAGACACTCAGTGCATCCTGAAGTCCTGCTGCTAACTGAAAAGGGGAGCATCCACTCGCCTCTGCAGATCCATGCCACTGGTAATCACTGCAAGATTATTTGTCCCTTTCCCCTGAAACAAGTTGATTTGCAACTCAAAATCTAATGAAAAGTAATAACCTGTGACTATTTGCCACACTAGTGGTTGCCTGTAAGTATAAATTTGCAAGGGACCTATACTGGCACATTTTTCTTTTCTTTTTGGGACCAAGGATCGAACTCTGATCCTTCCGCTTCCCAGGCGGGTGGCAGAACCACTGAGCTAAATCCCCGGCCCATATTGGCACATTTTTTAAAGCTTCAGGAAACAAATCACCTGGAGCAGCTGATGGCAAAGCACAGTTAATTTACCACCAAATAGCTTGTGCCAAAAATACAGCTGGAGTACTGAACAGCTAGGGTTAAACTGCCAGTTTCCTGAACACCTGTGCAGGCTGCTACCTCATACAGTGTCGTACACTCTCATACCTCCGTAAGGACGGGCATGGGCAAGATACCAGTGTCTCACCCTTCATTGCAAGGGCTTTGACTCCTATACTCCAGACTGGGCTCGACTCAGAAGTCCCCAGCTTAAGGACTATTTTTAAAGTACTGAGCATTTTAGCTCCTGATTTTAATGGGATTTTAAAAGAACAAACTTGAAGCTGTGTTGTCTGCAATGGCATAATTGCCTCTGTTTATTTCAGTGTAAAATCATACTAATAGCTGTGGGGAAGGGGGAGGTGTTGGAGGGGCCACGGAATATGGGAAATGTGTTTTCCACTAAATTATGCATCTAACCTAAATGATTAACAGAAATTTAGATTGCTTACTAAATATCCCAAGTCTCAACATGGACTTGTACATTCTATGTTGATCTAACAAAAAACGACGTTTTGGTTGTACAATAATTTACTAAAGGCACTATTGTTAAACATCAAACTAATAATTTGTTGCCAATAAGGTACATCTTTGTAAACATAACAGAATGATTCCAAGAGATACATGGCTAGTAGGCAAACACAGATTTCCCTCAGGTGACAGCTTCCCTATGTACAGAACCTTCCCTTCTGGCCATCCCGGGCACTTATCTGAGAAAGGTTACTGCTGACTGCCAAGAGAGACTAGGAAAGCTCCAAGTCTCCATTCAGGGGTCTTTTTAAATCCTGGGTTTAGAAAACAATAAATCCAGGCATAAACTTCTGAGCTCTGGCGTCACAGAAAATGGACAAAGCATTCCAAGGGGGCCACTGGACATTAGCACCATGATGAACAGCTCAGACAGCTAAGATCTAGGTTGTTTTCCCTAGAAGATACCATTCATTTACAGCTCTAATGAGGAACGAGCAGCTCTTCAATGTAACAAATGATTTAGGTACATGAAGTCACAGGTTTCTCAAGAGAAAAACATTAAACAATACAGAACAAACAGCATCCCAGAGGCAATAAAATCTCATTGTGCTAAAGCATGTACAAATTAAGGCTTTACCTTGGCACATGACAATTTTGAAATTTCGTTGGAACATTCCTGATAGACCACATACTCAAGCAACAGAAGAATCAGTAGCAGGGCTGTTAGACATCAGTGTTACACACCTGACACAGCTGCCCTAAGGAGAGGGTGGGAACCCAGACTGGCACCAGGCTCTCTAATGCTAAGGCCTAGGCCCTTCAATCTAACCTTTCTAACTAGAACAAGCTCAAAACATGGAAAGTTTGCCTGTTTTTTCCTTGCTTTTGTGTCTTTAAAGCTCTTGGAATTTTTTTGACTAAAATGAATATATTTCTTAACAAATACTACTACTACTGGAGCAAGGATTAAAATGTTGAGATTTTTACTACATTAAACTTTTTCAAGTTAGCACAATGTTCCTACTAAGTCATGTTTCAGTTAGTACAGCTTTCCAATGTCAGGGAAGAAATCAAAGATGGGTACTAATAAGAAAGTTAAGGGCCAGGAATTTAGCTCAGTGGTTCTGCCACCTGCCTCGCAACCGCAAGGTCCCAAGTTCGATCTCCGGTACCACAAAAAAAAGTTAAAATATTCCTAAAGCTCTGTCATCGCTTATAAAGAAAAGATTGTCCCACTTTATGCACAAGAAGATCGTTTTACCTACTAAGCCAGAAGAATGTGTCAGTGTAGATGTCTTCAGTCCAGATAAAAGCCCACATTGGATAGCTACTTCCTGTTCACAATTATAACCACAGACATTGCAATGTAGCTCTTAGATCTGAAAATGTCTTTATTTTTTAGAAAATGGATTCCAGGAAGGTTAAAAAGCAATACCAGAGGGCATAGGTGCAGAAGTGGATGTAGTCAGTCATTCAAAGCATTCAAGTAAGAATATGGCAATATAAATATCCAAAAAGTATGACTTAGGTGTTCCAAACAAAACGTGTAGTCATTCCTAACTAATATGAGCTGTAGAGCATTTCCTAGACAGGAAGGAGACAGGTAGCATTTGAAAGTCCTGAAAGCCTTTTCCTTGGTTAATTACATTAGACGGTTTGCCTCTGATCAAAATCAAATTCTTTTAAACATGGGTAGAGTATTTATTACACAGGTCCACTGTTAAAACAGACAGCACGTTGCAAGTTAATTCTGGTATAATGTATTCCAACAAAGCTTAGAAAATAACGGTGCTGAGGTGGCTTTGGACTGTGTTTAATAGTCATCTCCTCTGCTGACGACTTCTTTGCAGGTGGGACGCAGCAGTATGGTGTGTTCAAACTGCGCTGTGTATGACCCTTTAATGTCACACAGGGGTGGGTACGGGTCTACGATGCCCAAGTCACACAGATTCTTCAGCGCCATCAGGTATTTACTTTCTCCTAGGCGATCCAGCCATCTGCGGCAGAAGGCGAGGGTGCCAAAGTTTTCATTGATGACATTTAACAAGTGTTTTGTTCTTGGAAGCCTAAGGGAGAAAATTCAAGGTTAACAGTTGGCAAAGAAGTCACCGACTCACTTCCCCCGTTAAGAAAAACCCAAATCCAAGCTTAAAAAACATCTTCACTGCTCCTTCAGTGGCAATCGGAAGCTGGCATGTGTGGTAGCCCAGCCCTAGATCATCATGTTGCTGGCTCTTTCCCTCCTTTTCCTTCAGTGCTGGGGGTGGAGCCCAGGGTCTCAGGATGCCCTCCAGGGTTAGCACATTGTGTTACATCCCCATGCGAATGTATGTTACACTCCGGGTTACAAACTCATTTACACAGAATGGTGGAAGTTGCTTTTTGTGCATGACGCTCAAAGATCACACACAAAATGGTATAAAGCCTTCAAATATGTAAGAGATTAAAGTATAAGTTGAAGTATGAAATTTACCAAGGAGACTATATTAACACCAAAAACTTATGAATGCTAGCAAAGTAATACTATTACCAGAATTGAGATTTGAAGAGAATACTTTTCCTCTCAGTTACAATATTTAGCAAGCTAACTTTTCTTTGAGAAGAGAAATCCACAGCACTTACTGTTAGGCTACAGAACTGCACATTTATGAATATACCACCCTGTATGTTTGTCGTGTTTTTTTTAATAGCTGTGAACTAACCGGGAAGAGATGCTCATCAGTCATAAAGCCGTTGTCACTCACCTTATTGGCACGTGTCCAACATCAAAATTTTTCATGTAATGTGAACACTCCATGTCATCATGAACAACGCCTTTTCCTGTACTACCAAAGGTTTCAATGGCATACACTTCTCCTTCCTTCAAAAATACATACAGGACGGGGAGAGAAGAAAAGTTCAGAAGGCATCCCAGTTCTCACCTGACTCCCACTGCTGTCAACAGCGGCCCAGATTGGCTCCAGTGCCCCTCCACCGCCCCTCCTGGTCCCCCAGAACGCAGCCTCTACTCCCTGCTGGGGCCCTGGAGCCTAAGAGCCTGGCACCTAGGAGAATGCACGTGTGCAGTCAGTGCCGAATGGGAACTGACTGGGGCTCTGCGCAGGCGCAAACTGCACCTGCAGACCCAACTTCCACCAGCCACCCACCTCCATCCTGGTCGCCTCCCCGCCCTTCACGATGGGCACGGTCTTCCCCGCATGTATTCTGTATGGCCCAATCGAGTGTCCGTTCAGATTGCGAATTGGCTTCACTGTCACAATGAACAGGGAAAGAAACGTTATGCAGGTTTTCTAGAAAGGTATACAGATTCCTCCTAGCTTTTTCATAGAGAATCTAGCATTTACTGCAAAGCAAGATACAGCTCTGCTGAACAGCCTCATCCCTAAGACTTTAACTTGGGGGAGCAAAAAATCAGGATGAAAATTAGAACCATCTACAGAGTCACTGAAAACAAAAGGTCAATGTACATAAATGCTTAGTACAGGAGAAATATTTCCTTGTGTGGTTACAGAACAAAAAGATGTGAAAGAATATGGGTCAAAATGACTATGAAACCTTCAATCTCAATGTCCTGAAAACAATGACAAAATAGACAAACAGTGGCACCATTACACAGCAGAGTATCAGTCAATAATTAAAAAGCCAGGGATGCATTCAGCAAATGGAGTAAATCTGAAGATGAAATGGGCTGAAGAAGACAATTCTACAGGCCAACTGCGCTGCTGAACTGGGACTGACAAAGAGCACAAGCAGAGGACATCAATGCATATTCACGAGGACCAGAGCTTCTAAGGATTCAGCAACTTCTCAGAGAACCCAAGTCGTTTTCAAGAACACTGTTATGGTGTCCTTTCAAGTCCCATATTCTTGACGAACCCAGAAGGAACAGGCTCTTTTTTTTGGTACCAGGAATCAAACTCAGGACCTTACGCTTTCAACGCAGGCGGTGGCACCAAGCTAAATCCCCAGGCCAGGAGCAGGCTCTTTATAGCAATGAACCAGGAAGCCAGAAGGCCCATCCTATAGCTCTGCAAATTCCTCAAGACAGCTTTGAATTTATTCCTCTGATCTCAGTTTCCTCCAGGATTAGAATACAGTACACTCCCGGGAAGTGTTACTGAGCTCATGTTACTGAGTGTGAGATGATAACAGCCAATCCTAAAACTGCTTCTTTTTTACAAGAACCAGGAGGGACAGAAACAGACAAGGGAGTAACTGGTCTCCAAATTCTGAATGTGACTCAGAACAAAAACTACATACTGGGAAATCGTCAGTGGGAAGGGCCTCTGGCTTCTCTGCTCTGACTGCCAGTCCCAGGTGACCTAGCTCACTCACTGGCCACCTCACATCAACCTCCCAGGCATCCACCGCTGGGTACGGGAGGAACTGAGCAACAGGAGCCAACAGCTCCATTTTCCCTTCTTTACATTCCTAAGACACAAGGACAAAAGGGTTGGCCTAAAAAAAGCCATCGGCCAGGCATGGTGGTGCACACTTGTAATTGAAGAACTCCGACAGTCTGAGACAGGAGGGTGATGACTTCAAGCCCACTCTGAGCAACTCAAGACCTTCTCTCAAAACATAAAAGGGCTAAAGAGGCAGCTTGGGGTGAAGGCCCTAGGTTCAATCTCTAGTACTACATAAAAGAAAGAGCAACAGAGAGAGAGGAAGAGGAGGATAAAGGAAGGAAAAGAAAAAGAAGAAGCAAGCAATCAACAGTAGTTTATAAAATTAATTTCAAAATGAGATTCATCTGAAAGGGCCATACCTTGATATGTCTTCCCATCTATTTCTACTTCGTAGGATTCCATAACTTCCTGGATGGCCTCCCCAACATCACAGAGACGAACATCAATGCCAGCACACTAAAAACAATAAATCCTGTTTATCAAAGTGCAAAATTTTACAATGACTCAACTTCTAAGTTGAGCAAAGGACAATCAGAAAAACCATTCTGTACACTGGGCATCCCTGTACAAAAGACTTTGAGCAGACTGAAAAGACAGCAGAGCGGGAAGCATCGGGAGTGAACCCAAGCCCTGTAACAGGACTGATGGGGTGGTTTGTTTCTGAGAGGTGTAAGGTCTGAATTCTCAACACATCGTCTCCCGACCAGACACCAACGCACAGCCGAATCTGGGTGATGGAACTTCGAAGGACTCTCAGTCCACTGAGGGCTTTCCCCGCTCAGAACAGGCACTGGCTGGGGAATTCACTTCCCCACCCCTGCCACAGAGCCCAGCGCAGACACACACTCCTGAAACTGCACACAGCTCAGCAGAGCCCAGGGGACAAAAGCAAAAGTGCCCAAAATACCTGGGACCTGTGCCTGGACCCTCGTGGGGCTGGCACCCCCTTCCTCCTGCTCCCTGCACCTTCATCTTTCCCCCTCTCGGGAGCCACACGTGAAAGATGAGGATACTCAAAACAACTACCTATATGAGAAAAACCCAAAAGGGAACGCACGCCCAGAAACAGTGCAGGCTCAGAAAGATCTCTGAGATCCTAAGTTTCCATCTCAGAAGGGTTCTTGACAGAAAGAGAAAAAACCAAAACCCACGAAACCAGGAAATACCAAGACTGAGGGAGAGGGAAGAATCTGGTTTCCAGAGTTACCACATTAGATTCTAACACACAGTGTTCAAAACAATTACAAGGCATACAAGCAAATGGGAAAGAACAGTCATTCAAAGGAAACAAGTTTCTAACAAATTATTATTGAAACAGATCTGATGAATGAACTGGACAAAGATTTTTTTTTTTTTTTGGTACCAGGGATCAACAAAGATTTTTAAACATTTCTCTTAAAGATACTCAAAGAAGTAAGGAAGATAGGAAGAAAGGGGGGGAAATGCATAATCAATGGAAATATCAATAAGGAGATTCAAGAAACAACCAAAAACCTGGAGCTGAAACGTGCAGGAACTGAAATGAAAGATTCACTGGAGGTGCTCCAGGCCGGAAAGGAGCAGGTGGAACTAGCCACCTGCAAGCAGGACAAGGGCAATTAAATGACCAGGCCTGAGGCATGGGAAGGAAAGTGAACCTGGCAAATCATCACAAGCGCCAAACTGTATCATGGGTGGCTCAGGAGGAGGAAAAAGCAGAGGATTTAAAGAAATAATGCCTGGAAACCTCAAACAATGAGACACAAATATCCAAGAAGTTCAATGAACACTAGGTAAGACAACCACGAAGACACACAGTGAGACTTAAAAAAAATAGCCTAAATGCTAGTAGTATTTTATCTTTGGGGTTTGTTTCGGTACTGGGGATCAAACTCAGGACCTTGCACTTGCCATGGAGGTGCTGTGCCACTGAGCTACATCCCCGGGCCAGTATTGTATCTTTGGATTGAGAGTCCACATTGTTTCCACATAGCTTGGGAAAAATGCTATAAGGCTGAGGCAGGAGGATCACAAGTTTAAGGCCAACCTGGGCAACTTAGCCACACCCTGCCTCAAAATAAAAAGTAAGTAAAGAGGCGGTAGGATGCCCTTCAGGTCAATCCTGAGTACCACAAAAAAATTTTTTTAAAGCCCCAATATTGTGGCTCAGTGGGAGAACCCCTCCCTACTATGAAGATGTCAGCCCTAGATTCACTTCCAATCAATCAAATCTAGTGGAGTGTTTCAGAAAAACAGAAAAACACATTCAAGGGGCCGGGAATTTAGCTCAGTGGTTCCACCACCTGCCTCGCAAATGGAAGGTCCCAAGTTTGATCCCTGGTACCAAAAAAAAAGAAAAACACATTCAAAAATTCATGGCTTTCAAGGGACTGTGAATTGCATAGCCAAAACAATCTTTAAAAAAGCAAAACAAACAGAATTCACACTTCCTGTTTCGAAGATATTTTTCCTTTTTTATTGGCAGTACCAGAAACTGCACCAACAGCTTCACACATGCTAGTCAAGCACTCTACCACTGAGCTACTTCTCCAGGCTTTTTAAAACTTTCTGAGACAGGGTCTTGCTAAGTTGCCCCAGCTGGCCCCGATCTTGCAACCCTCCTGCCTCAGCCTCTCAAGTAGCTGAGATCACAGATATATGCCATGGTGCCTGGCTTAAAACTTCTAAAGCTACAGAAATCAAAACAGTGTGGTCCCTGCATAAAAATGACACGCAGGCCTCCGGAAAAGCACTCTCACACAGGTACCAGAGATCATGACAAAGACGCCAAGATCATCCAACAGGGAAGAATTTTCAACAAACAGCGCTGAGAAAGCCAGACATCCACACGCGACGGATGAAGACATGGGGGGCTGAGGCAGGAGGATTTCAAATGTGAGCCCAGACTGGGCAACTCAGGCCCCATCAAAAGGGGGGGTGCGCTGGCAAGTGCAAGATCCTGAGCTCGATTCCTGGTACCAAAAGGGGGAGGGAGGCCTCAGTTCCAAGGCCCTGGGTTCAGTCCCTAGCACTGCAGAAAAAACATAAAAAAGAATGAAGACCCCAGACCCCCCCACACCTAAAATCATACCCAAAATTAACTCAAGAATGCATCAAAGAGAGCCAGGTACTGTGGTGCATCCCTGTAACCCCACCACTTGGGAGGCTGAGGCAGGAGGACCACTCCAAGTTTGAGGCCAGCCTGGAATACTTAGCGAGACCGACTCAAAAAAAAAGGGCCGGATATTTAGCTCAATGGTTCTGGTGCCTGCCTCGAAAGCACAAGGTCCCAAGTTCGATCCCCAGTACCAAAAAAACAAAAAGGATTGAAGATTTAAATGTAAGACCTAAAGCTATGAAACTATCAGAAGCAAACAGGGCAAAAGCTTCATAACTGTATTTGGCAATGATTTCTCTTGGATATGCTATCAGAGGCACAGGCAACAAAAGAAAAAACAGATAAAGTGGATTTGATGAAAAATTAAAACATTTCGTATATCAAAGCACATCAATCAACACAATAAAAAGGCAACTCACAGAGTGGGAGAAAGCATTTGCAAATTGTATATCTGATATGGCACCAGCATCCAAAATATACAGAAAACTCAGCAACACAACAACCGGATCCAAAGACAGGCAGAGGAATGGGCAGTTTCTCCCACAATGATGACGGCCAATAAGCATCGTTCCCCCACCAGTCACCATGGAAGTGTAAATCCCAGGGACAGGAAGCCACCACCGCACAGCCCCAGGGCGGCCCTGATAAAAACACCTGAGGGTGAAGGCGACAGTACAGCCAGGCAGGAGACAGGGCCCTGACCCCGTGCGGAGCAGCATGTGAGGGCGGACGGGGCGTGGCCATGACTCAGTCAAGAACACACCCACCACACGATTCTGAGTCTATAACCCAAAGAATCAAAACAGTGTCTCAGAGACATCTGTATCCTCATCACGGCAGCCGAGCACCTACGGACAGCTGAGTGCACAGTCAAACCGGGGCACGTATGTGCAGCGTGCATGCCCAGCCTCAGTGTCACGAGAGGAGCTACAGAGGCAAATGCATGGAAGGAATCACACACTCACAACGGTGGAAGGTGGTGGCCCAGGGCTCCGTGGGGAGGGTGACGAACCGGCAGAGTAGAGAGCACATGGGTGTGAAGGCTGTGTGTGGACGCACCGCATCACGGAGCTGGCCACGCCCACAGAATGTGCAGGAAGGGAGGGAGGCCCACCGTGACCCGGCCCCGAGCTGAGCTCGGAACGTAGCGGGTTACAGAGGCACCCGCCTGGGGGAGCAGGGCTGGCAGGGGAGATGTTCCCTCCCACCTTCTGCTCAGCTCTGATGTGCAACAGCTACTCTAAAACATAAGTTTATTCACAATCAAAACCAAATAAACCAAACAGACAATTTTACAGGCCCGGACTACAGAGTGAGACCCCGTCTCAACCACAACTAATCACAGAAATGGTGCTTACAGCTCACCTACCTTTATTCCAGTATTAGTGGCATCTTTTACAGCTTTTAATAATATATCATATTTGGGATTAAAGGTGACAGTAAAAGCACAGTCAATAATCCTACCTGAAAGAAAAAAATTCATCTGTAAGTTTACTTATCAATTTATTTACTTTATAGCATTTATTAACCTATAAAACCGTTACAACAAAAAGAAAATAGAGGGCCAGGGATTTAGCTCTGGTTCTGCTGCCTGCCTCACAAACACAATGCAAGAGAGAGGGAGAGGGAGAGAGTAGAGAGGGGAGAGAAAGAAAAAAGAATAGCCAGGCATGATGATACACTGCTGTAACCCCAGAAATCAGGAGGCTGAGGCAGGAGTAGTGTCTTGAGTCTGAGGCCAGCTTCAGTCACTCGGAGAGATCCTGTCTCAAAAAACTGAAAGAATGAGGGCCTCAAAGGAGAGAAGCATTCCAAGTGCCCAAAGATCACACATTACCTACCAGAGGGAAAAAGTGGTAGGAGTACACAGATCACAGAACAAAACTGACGAATTAGAGGCTGGTGAACGCCCCTGCACGCTGTTGTGCACAGACAGAAACAAGATGAGCAAGAGGGCAGGAAGTGAGGGGAGCCGCGCAGGGCAGGGCAAAGGCACAGGACCGCAGAGTGCCAGCACGGCGCCTCGTCCCGTCCACGGCTCCATCCCAGCTGGCTCTCTGGCCTGGAGGTGAGGCGACAAGGTGCTTGGGGACGCGACTGCGGGCAGTTTAGAAAAGCAAGCAGGCATATACAAGTGGAAACCTGGAAGGCTCTACATAACGTTTACTGTTTAAATGTACAGGATTATACTTTGCAAATAGGGAGGGGGAGGACAGGGGAAGAGGGGAAAGTGGGGACCAAGATCCATCATGTAAGGCACAAGATCCCAAATGGATGTATCTGTATTGTACACCTAAAATGTACCAAAAGAATTTAAAGGAAAAAAAATAAAATACAGATGTATAGGATATATGAAACAATGATCTGAAGGAAAAAATATGGGCTATCTCCATGCCTTGATACAAAAACAAACCTCAATTTCCAACAGACTTCGCTTTAGCAGGGTGCTTTAAAGTGAACCTGTGTGCTCTCAACACAGCTCTACTCAAAAGAATGAAGGCAAAAACAAAATCCCCAAGTGCAGTATTCATAGCTCCATCCAACACATACAAAACTGGAGGTTTGATTTTCATTTGTTCTGGGTGGGAGCAGAAGGCAGAGATCTTCCACACACTCACCACTTATATGCGTTCCAAAGTCAATCTTACAGATGTCATCGTACTGCAATACTGTGGTGTCGCCTGCGTTGGGCGTGTAGTGGGCGGCACAGTTATTGAGAGAACACCCAGTCGGAAAGGCCAGGCCTGCATTCAAGCCGTTCTCTTTTATGAGCTTGCGTGAACAGTCTTCCAACTTCTCACTGAAACAAAAGTAACAGAGAATTTGTTTACTTTCGTATTCATACCTTTATATACGGTGTAGCTCATCAAGTCTCCGAAATTTACTAAAATCCTTAAAATCCTGAGTGACAGGAGCACTTTCTGGACATAAATTACAATTCCCTGATGCTAAGAAAATACCTCATCTATAAAAGATAAGGACATAAATTCTATTAGAAACCTCTAGAAAACACATTCCATGTTTAACTTAGTTTGCCAGAAAGTCTCAACTTCGACAAATTGAAGTGTTGATTTCATTTGCTCCTGGTAGACATTTAAATATTGACTCAATCTGACAAGTCATCTTTCATATGATTTTCTCAAGGTGGAAAGGAGGGAATCGATTTCCTGGTTTCCTGACCACTGTAATCACATGTTGTGTCTAGACACTTCCGCTAGCGACTTTCAGTCTCAATATGAATTGTCGCAGAGCAAAACAAGAGTCCAGGCAGAGGCAGAAGCAGTCCCGCGGGCCAGCAGAGCGTGCAGTGTGCAGTGGGGGAGGCCGAGATGAAGCTGTACCCTCAGGGTCTCCCCATCAGAGCTACTACAAGAGCTCCCAAGAGGTGTGCATAATTTTTCAATTTTTATTAGCAAAGTAGTTATGGAAAGGCAAATATTACAACTGGAAAATTAGTACTAAAAAATTTTTTTAAATTGTTTTATCGTGTTCTTACAAAAATTTACAAAATCTTACCAGATTTCTATCATTGTCATCCCAGGCTTGATCCAGCTCATAACGTATTTTCTAACTTGTCGATGTGCTTCCGCAGCTTCTCGAAAATCATTCCAAATCTCTTCACTAGCCTGATCTAATGCTTTCTTTTCTTCACTTGTAGTTCTCCAAGCAGCTGTTCGCCTTGAGAATAGGCATAGCATAGTATGAGTCACTTAAAAAAGAGCAGAACAAGCACAAAAGCGGAGGGTAAAAATATACCAAGAAGATATTTTAGGTAGAGTATACTATACATTCAGTTTATGCATGTCAACAAAGTTTCTGAAATACCAAAAGCCACATTCTTGCAACCAACCCAAATCAAGTTTAATCTTATTTTAAGACTCTTGGGGAAAAAACATCTCCAGTAAGATTTCATTCAGAGGCAGAAAGACTGAAATACTGCCACCAAAAAATGACAAAACAGGAGAGAACTAGAAAAGCCAGACAAGAATCCCAGAAACCAAACCGGTGGGGGGAAAAGTCACCCCACCCTTGAGCTAATAAATACTCAGGAGACGCCAAAGAAGCGCAGCCAAAATCAGCCGCCAGGGGAGGAGACGGTTTGCACAGCACCACCAGCCCACGCACGCCGAGACCTGCCGCGCTCCCACCTTTCACACAGAGCGGTGCGCACCCTCAGTAACCCGTGCATAGCTCCTAAATCATCGCTGGATTACTCTAAATACCGAACATACTGTGAGTGCTGTGAAAATAGCTGACACACTGCTGTGTGGAGAATAACAAGAAAAAATGTGTACATGTTCAGTACAGGTGCAGTATCTTAAGAAATTTTTGGTCCACAATTGGTTGGATCCACAGATGGGAGCCCCATGATACAAAGGGCTAATATGGGTCCAAAACTTGACCTAGAAACCTGCATGCATGTTCCCCACCATGCACAATGGCACACGTACTAGAAGTGACCCTCCACTTAGGGACACGGTTTGGGTAGTTTAAAACTGCCAGGGTTAACAGATTTTTATGTTTAGGGTCTGGAACAAAAAGCATCAACTCCCTTCAAGTAACACATTTTCAAAACATTAACTGTTTTAGAATGAAAATCTTTTTAAAATGTGGTACCACTGCCACACATTTTTAGGTAACGGTGAATATACAGTTCCTAACTCAGTGATCACCAGCGTAGAAAGTGACGCCTTCAGAAACGTATCTGTCCCAGGCCAGTGGCTTGCGGAGTGCAGCCGCAGGAGCCCCAGGGCACCCGCTGTGTATGTAACGCCACACTGCCCACAGCTGTGCTCAGACCAACACTACAGAAGCAGTGGAGATGCAAAGCCTAACTGTGACTATCGGTTCCTTCACAGAAGAAAACTACCCACGCCTACTACGCATCCCAGGGCAGGGGATTAGCTCAGTGGTGCTGTTCCTGCCTCGCAAGCACAAGGTCCCGAGTTCGATCTCCAGAACCAAAAAAAAAAAATAAAGTAAAATAAAAAATAAATAAACTGCGCATGCCCGAGTCAAGGCCCGATGCTGACTATATGTGTGCATCACTACCATGCGCCCACCTCTGCATCCCTGCCCGCTGCCCAGGCCTGAGGGTGTCTGGCCTGCATAGGACGCCCCACTGCAGCACCAGAGGGCCTTCCTCGGCCTCGCACATGGGACTGTATTTTCAATCTGCTGATGCTATCAGATAACCAAAATGGCACAGTGCCAGCTCCCACTTCCCAAAGTACTTAATTGTGGACGGGTTACTTTACAGGAAGAGGGCAATTCAGGCAATGGTGTAGCCCTCGCCCTTTCTCCTGTGAGGATTCAAGTCTTTCCGGAACCAAGGACCCAAATGTTCTAAGTCCAGATCACTCTCCAGCATAAAGGTAAGAGCAATACTCCTAGCTCACTTTTAAACTAAACACATCACAACTCTTTGTCTCTTACGCAAGCCAGAATGCAGGTCAGGCATATACACCACAGCTGTAGCTGCCAGTAAAGCTTTTTCTTGAGACAGGATCTCGCCATGTAGCTCACACTAGTCTTGAACTCACTATGTAGCCCAGACTGGCCTCAAACTCAGGCGATCCTCCTGCCTTAGCCTCCCAAGAGTGCTGGGATTACACTCGAGGCTGGCAGTAAATTTTTTTTTTGGTACCCAGGATTGAACTCAGGTCCTTGTACTTACGCAGCAGGTGGCGAAACCACTGAGCTAAATCCCCAGCCCTGCTGGAAGTAAAATTTTAAGGACCACTCACTCACTTCAAAATTCAAAGGTTTTGGGCTGGGGATTTAGCTCAGTGGTTCTGCCGACTGCCGCACAAGCGCAAGGCTCAGAGTTTGATCCCCGTTACCAAAAAAAAAAAAAAAAAAAACAACAACAAAGATTTTGTGAAAAGAAAAACCACCAGCAAGTATTTACTGAAGAGTAATATGATGAAGACTATGTCTACTTGATGGAAATCCTGAATCTAGGACCCCAAAGGGGCACTGGTCCAGGCTGGGCACAGTGGTGCACACCTGTTTTCACAGCACTCAGAAGGCTGAGGCAGGAGGACTGCCATGAGTTCCAGGCCAGCCTGGGATACACAGTGAGACCCTGTATCAAAAAAAAATTTTTTTTTAATTTTTTTTTAAATAAACGGGCACTGGTCATTACCAATTCTAATTCCTGCCCCTCACACACCCCTCAGATTCCTTATCCCCTCCACGCCAGGGATCGAACTCAGGACCTTGTGCTTTCGAGGCAGGAGCAGCACCACTGAGCTAAATCCCTGGCCCCTCAATCCATGTCTTTAAAGGTTAAAATACCAGCCGGGCGTGGTGGTGCACACAGCCTGAGCTACAGTGAGACCCTGTCTCAAACAAACAAACACCAACAATAAATAAGGTTAAGACACAAGTATAATTAAATTGCAAATGTATTTCTACTGCATTTTAGAATCAGAAGATAGTATAATAAATATCCCCAATACTGAAACCAAGATATCTCATGAACACCTAATACATTTTTCTGAGACAGGGTCTCGATATGCAGTTCAGGCTGGCCTTGAACTCACTATGCAGCTCAGGCTGGCCTCAAACTCAAGGTAAGCCTCCAGAGGCCTTGTGAGTGCTGAGATTAAAGGCATGCACCACCACGCCCAGCCATGAAACCCACTTTGAAATGTATGTTTTTAAGTTAAATCCATTTTTTTTTGGTACCAAGATCAATCTCGGGTCCTTGTGCTTGCAAGGCAGGCAGTGGAACCACTGAGCTAAATCCCCGGCCCTGAAATGTATGTTTTTAACCCAAAAACAAAACACACATGGATATGACACAAATTCCTTTCTCTGAAAACTGACAAAGGGCAAAAATAAAACATTTTAAATCTGACTCCAAGAAGCCACTATCGTTAATTTCCAGTTGGTAAGAAGAAAGAAGTTCTTCCCTTAGGAAACTATCAGGCACTCTCCTGTGATCCAAGCACTGAGGCTGAGGCAGAAGGCTTGCCCTGAGTTCAAGGCCACCCTAAACTACAAGGTGAGACCTGGCTCAAGAAACCAAAAATAAATAAATGAATAGAATTTCAAAATGACTCTTCATTCTGCTTCTAGGAAATGAGAATATGAGAAAAATCCCAGGGCTCAGTGGCAGGCATCTGCCTAGCATCCTCAAGACCCTGGTTCCAATCTCCACCATGGGGGGGGCGGGGGGGGTCCTATTGATTTCTAACAGACTGACTGTAGCAGTCACTGCAGAGTTCTGTCCAATGGTAAAAAACTGGAAACTACGTTACATTCAAAAGTAGCTAAAGAAAATTATTCTAGACACACAAAAGAATAGCATTATAACTATTAAAAATCAGTTTCAAGCCGGGCATGGTGGTGTGTGCCTGTAATCCCATCTGTACTTGGAAAGCTGAGGCAGGACTATGAATTTGAGGCCTTGCCTGGACTACACAGCAAGACCCTGCCTCAAAAAAAAACAAAAATTGGGTAAGTGAAAACACCAGGACTCTACACAAGCTGATGATAAACTATTAATTTCTAGAAACAAATACCTAAATATAATGCAATTCAGAAAGGGCACTTCTATATGTGACAGAAGTAACTTAACAAGTTATCAAACTATATTATGAAGTTTCTGGTATCAAAGCAAAATACTATTAGCATAAGAAGAGATAAATAGATCACTGGAACAGGAATAATCCCAAAATTAATTTCATTGTACCTAATAGTACAGTATAGGATAAAGCAATTCAACTCAGTAAAATGAATTATTTAAGGAACAATCCACAGGCTATCCACTTGCAAGAAAGTAAAAAACCTCCACATCAATTAAAGACACAATAAAGCACGAAATAAAATCTAAGAATGCTATGAACCCAGAAGTTTAACATATGGATATATAATGCCTTTAAAGTTTTAAAGTTCTTGGCGAGCAAAAGTTATCATAGAAGAGCCAACAATCATGATATGCCCAAAATCACCAGTAGTCTTAAGAATTGTAAAGTATGGGCTGGGGATTTAGCTCAGTGGTTCCACCTCCTGCCTCGCAAGGGCAAGGTCCGAGGAGTTTGATCCCCAGTACCAAAAAAAAAAAAGGGGGCTGTAAAGTATTAATATACTCTTTAATTCTCCAATCATCTCACCTCTAGAAAATTAAAAACTGAGCTAAATCCCCAGCCCTATAATTCCACTTTTAAAAACAACGACCAAAAAAAGCAAACACAGATGTACACATATATGAGCACAGAAAAATACAGAAGGCTACCTGCTGGGTGATTAACATGGGTCTGGAAGGAAGGGAAAGAAGAGAGAACCGAAAAAATAATAATAATTAAAAGATTACATTTTAAAATAAATGTGATCATATCATGTGCACTATGAAAATTTATGTAAAATTACATGTATCTGTGACATTTTAAAAATAGATGCTTTGAGGTGGGGATAACAATTGATGAATTTAAAGAAAAGACATCTATGCCATAAAATTCCAGAATTTTATAGACTTATTCCCTAAGTATATCCATATTTAGGAATAAGGAAGGTGAAAATTGAACATTATGTCCTTTTCTGTTAAGAAAAACACATGTCTATAGAGACCAACAAAACAATGCTATGTAGAAGCTTTCCTAGCCAGCTGCTGCACCAACAGGCTGACCAAGCACGCTGACCCCCGCCCCAGGTGTCCCCGTGTCTGGTTTCGGGGCACCATTCTGATGACAGAACAGCTGCTAACTTCATGCTCAGTGGGCATCTGCTATTCAGCTAAGTGCTTTGCATTTATTATCCATGGGAGGCGTCCACCTTTCGGAGGAGGAAATGAAAGGCCACCATGAAGCCCAGTGAGAACCAGCAGGCAGATGCAGCAGCCTGGGCCCAGCTTCCGGCTCCGCCGGCTGACATGTACCTCACACAACATCCCAGGTCAGTGAGTTAGTTGCCAAACCGGTCCTCCTTACTGTAATTATGTAACTTAACGCCCTCACATGGAAAGGTATTGAAAAGCCTCAACGGAGACAAGCATCAAAAAACACTTCTGTCAAACTAAGTCTAGAGAAGAACTGTAAACAGTTTCAGGAAAAAAATGTGAAGGTACCGATAGGCATTGACCCTGACGTGACAGAACCCCCGAATGGGAATCAGATGATGCTTTACAAGTGCTTTATAGAGGAAAATTAGAATTCCACGTAAATCCATGCTGAAATGTTTTATTTTGTTTGGTTTTTTTTGGTACTGGGGATCGAACTCAGGACCTTGCGCTTTCGAGGCAGGCGGTGGAACCACTGAGCTAAATCCCCGGCCCTATGCTGAAATGTTGAGAAGCAAAAACCAAATTTAAGTTAACCTTTACTAAAAAGATTCCGTTTTTTGTAATCCCCACTTTAATACACCTTTTTCATTAGCCAATCTGCTACTGGTCCCAATCGTTTTGGGTAAGAAGGCTTCTACTGTATTTCCTTCACAACACTCCTAAGCTTTTAATAAAATAGTGACGTTCTGAGAACAATCCAATTTGCTTCATGCCCAGCTCCCGCTGTCCGAGGCCGTGGCCAAGGGACTTCCGGCCTTACCCGTCCTGCGTGGGTGGGTACTCGCACTCCTGTCCCTTCGGGAACACGCCGCTGGGATACAGGTCACAGATCGGCACCGAGGGAGGGTCTGTCTGAACTTTTGCTATGAGACACAAATTAAGCATTAACTTCTATACTTACAAATTGCGTTATTACAGCTTCTTGGGTTCTAAAGCTGTTATACATGCTGTGATTTTACTCTCTCTGCTGCCACCTTACAGCTAACAGAAAACGCTTCCCGGTGCAGGGCCGCCTCTGACTAACTGCTGCGTGGGAAGAGAAACCTCCAGCTTCTCAGAATCCCACACGCAGGGGTTTCTGAGGAAGTTTTCATCTTCATTTACTACAGCAGAGATGCAGTAGCACCAGAGGCTGGCTCTCACAAGTAAAACCCAAAGAAGTAACAAAATAGGAAGCCTGACAGCAATAAAACAAAACATGAACCTATTTCACAGTATTAACAAAATACAGGAGAATCTATTATTTAGAGGGAATATTAGTAAGTTCCGAGCATACACAATAGCTGCTGAGACTTTAGTTACCACATGCTAATTCCAGGTCCCTGAGAAGTTCCTGTACTCAGCAAACACCTTAGGCACTATTTCCCAAACCACATACACATTGAAGATCCATTATCCAAAAATTCAAACCCAATACTTCCTGAGCGCTGACACAACTAGGAAATTCCTGGCTTCCTGTGGCAGTGAGAACCAAGGTGCACTAACAATACTGTGTAAAATTACTTCAAAGGCTGTCTATGAAAAAAAACAAAAGCCCAGCGTGGTGGCACACTGTAATCCTAGCCCTCGGGAGGGTGAGGCAGGAAGATTGAAGTGAGTTCAAGGGCAGCCTGAACTACACAGCAAGACTGTTGCAAAAAAAACCCCAAAAAATTCATGTTTGGACTTGGGTTCTACCCCCAAGATATCTCATGATGTATATGCAAACATTGCAAAATCTTAAAAAATCCAAACTCCAGAACACAGCTGGTGCCAAGCATTTTGGAGGGGTCCACACCTGTAAAAACACCAGTGTATCCCAAGACATTCTCTGAGACAAGTGTTTTTCAAAATGCCTACGAACTAGACATAACAGTTGTTACGCAAAAACTTCCCTTTTAGTACAAATGCTGCACCCAAGGAAAGCTAAGCAGCTGCAAGACAGCTAATTAATGCAGCGATCTATGACTTTCAATGCATACAGCCGCAGCATTTACCAACTAATAAGACTGAGTATATGGTTTCCTTTGGATTACAACTAGCCGTATGTTATGGGTTTTTTGCTTAAATTTCAACATTTTGTTCTTTTTGTTCTGCAAATGCAAAAAAAGCACAACAAAAATATGACCAGCTATTGAGGCAAATCATCTATCTATGGAACCGTTTCCTCCTTCAGTTCAAACATAGCATCTCAAGAGTGCCAACGGGTTTGCTCTCTGTGTGATAACATTTCCAGGTTTTCTATGGGCCGGTACATGTGGGAAACACTATCTTAGGTTGTCCTAGTACATGTCCCTAAGCGCAAGCAGAATGATCAAGTCAAAACACTTTAGAGGTCACCTAACTCCACCTCCACTCAAGGACCCCTCAGTCCCCTGGCAGATGGCACCACGCTCCTGTCAGTGGAGGCCACCACCACCTCTCCCCCCACAGTCCACACCCATGGGGACCCTGTCGCCGCCAGCAGGCCCTTCCTGCACGGCCCTGTCTCCCGTTACTTCCATCTAGCAGCCCTAGCTTCCTGCTCTGAAGTTTAAGAAAAATGCACTAGGCTGGGTATGGTGGCACACACCTGTAATCCCAGCACCCAGGAGGCTGAGGCAGGATTGTCATGAGTTCGAGACCACCCTGGGCTACATAGTGAGACCCTGTCTCAAAAAAAAAAGAAAGGACTATGCATTGCTACTCACTCATCCCTCTCCATGTGGAGAAACCACGTCAAAGGATATGGCTCTCACCACTTTCGCCAACTGCCACACTGCCTCTGTCAACTTTATGTGACATGGTGCCAGGACTGAGTCACACTAATGGGCCAAGCAAGGTGTAATCAGTGTAAGGCCTCAAACTGCAATTCTCAAATGTCTGCTGCTCAAAAACAGGGAGGGGGGCTCAGCGGTACAGCTCTTGCCTTGCATGCACAAGGCCCTGGGTTCGGTCTCCAGCACCGCATACGTATGCGCGTACATACATACATACATAAACAAATAAGTATTCATTCCTGCTGCTCCTGAAACTACTCATGTTTTTTAGTTCACACTGCTGCAATGCTCAAAACTCTTAGAACACTACCATTCTGTACTAATTTTATATCTGTCGCTGTAAAATTTCTGCTTGTTAGCATTAGCTTATCTTAGTCATCTTGGTTTTTTGGAAAAAATACTGATTTTTGTCAAAGCTTTAACTCATCTACAAATCCGATAAAGATACCTTCAATATTCTGTCCACAAACTAAGCTGATAAAGGACTGGAAAAGATCGTTAGAGAGGGAGATCTAGACTATGTAACCAGAAGCGTCACAGTTGAAGCCCAGACTTTACCACATCAGCTGAGACTCAGAGGACAGCTGAGCGGTGCCAAGCCCAGATGCCTCAGCTACGAGACGAGGCTGAGTAGAAGCCAGGATCGCCTCTAAAAACTGCGACGCACCATGTCCAGTTCTGCTGCTTTGTTTCTGTAGGGTTAGAGCTCAAGCCCAGGGCCTTGCACATGCCACACAAGCAAGCGCCCTGCCAATCAGCTCTATCCCCACCTCTCATTATTACACAAAGTCAGAAATAAACCTATTAATCTATATCGCAATCACTCTTATTTAAATTCTCCCACTCTGCGGATGACAAAACTGAGGACAATAAACTGTCCATGGTTAAATTATCTGGTTTATCCCAGAAGTGATTTAAGGTACCCTATCAGGACATCAAAATTAACATACAAAGTAAATTAAAAAGCAAAAATCAAAATAGAGAAAGAACATTTAAAAACAAAACCTGAAATGAGGCCAGTACAGAACCACAAATTTGGCTCTAAGACTTCCAGTAGCCAGCCTTAAATAGTCATGTTATTTGCACAGTTCACAGTGCTTCTGAGGTAGAGCTCATCAGCTACTCAAATTATTATTATTATGCTTGATACCAATACCAAGAAAACAAAGCCAGGTGTGCAGGATTACACCTGTAATCCCAGCACTCGGGAGGGAGGCGTAGGCAGGAGGATCACTGTGAGTTCAAGGCCAGGCTGAACTGCATAGCATGGCCCACCCCCCAAAAATAAAGGGGGGCAACCCACTTTCCACTCCCCTTTCTGTCTCTCTTAGGCAGAAGCTTCCTTTCTCCCAATAAATTTTTCATAAATAAATAAATAAATAAATAAATAAATAAATAAAGGGCCGGAGTGGTTCCACCGCCTGCCCTGCAAGCACAAGGTCCCAAGTTCAATCCTGACATCCAAAAAAAATAAATAAATAAAATTATTTTTAGGGACTCATCCCTAACTTATGATTAAATTCAGCCAACATTTCTTAGCTGAAGAGCAGCTAAAGAAAATACCAACAAGGGCCCAGGGATGTAGCTCACTGGCACTGCAACTGTTCAGCAAGTGCAAGGTCTTGAGTTCAATCTCCGTACCAGACAAAAGAAGAAAATACCAACAAGACTGTTAAAGCATCTGCCACAGAACTATTAGCCCCACTCATCCTACCTCTGCTAAGCCGAAGCTTATTTCCCTGACCTCTGTCAAGACTGGTGGGCTTCTGACCCTCTCTGCAAACCTGCTGGTTAATAATCGCCGCTCAACGTTCGAGTAAGATTAAGGCAACACACTCACGTCCTCTCTTCTTCTTCTTCTTCTTCTTCTTCTTTCCAGTTGCTCCGTCTCCATCGCCATCTCCATCTACAAGACAAAATTTCAAGTCCATATTCACTGAAACCTCCCACGCGAGGGAGAAAGAAAGGAGACTGTGCATGTCACACACGGACGGATGCTTTCTAAATAACACCAGACAGGGTTTGCTCAAGGCTCTTCTAAATCTAACTGCACATTATCAGCACATGTCAGTACTCTTACATAAATGTGTGTGTCGCTAGCTCAAGTATCAGCTTGGCTTGTGGGATCAAAAGCATTAGCAAAGTTTACTTTGAATCATGCTAATAAAAACTGTAGAATGAGGGCTGGGGATTTAGCTCAGTGGTTCCGCCGCCTGCCTCAAAAGCACAAGGACCCGAGTTCAATCCCCAGTACCAAAAATTTAAAAAAATAAAAAAAAATAAAAATAAAAATAAATTTTTTAAAAACCCTGTAGAATGAGATTTTCTAAGAAAATTCCATTAACTTTCTTTTTAAAAAGCAAGGGATTTAACTAGCATTAAGTTCATTATCGCTAATAATGGTCCTGTGACTTCGTCTACAATACTACAATGGTTCACATCTGCTCTGCAGTTCAATAGTATTTCAGTGCCGCACAGCAGCCCCGGAGGGAACAGCATGTGTGAAGTGCTTACCCCAACTGTGCCCCCTGAGTCTGGGGTAATGCACATATGCCACTGGATCCCTAATCTGCCAAGGGTATTTAGGACATCGATTTTACAGTGTCTTTTCTCAGTCATCCCAGAGAGAGTTCTTCTGGTTCAAATGGGATGCAAAAACCAGAGGGTCTATGTGTTTTTCCTGGGTTCATAGTTCTAAGTCTCAGAGCCCAATGCCCATGGTGTTAAGAACTATGTTGGGAAAAAAAAAAAAAAAAGAACTATGTTGGGAAACAGCTGCCCACAGAGTACTCAAAGTGGCCATGACTCTGAGCCTTTCTAACAAGCTCTGCAGTCCATGCCTATACTCTTAAACTTTGAGAAAACATTAATGAATAAATAAACAAATAAAGTAATCAAAAATAGACTTGGGGGGCTGGGGGTTTAGCTCAGTGGTTCCGCCACCTGCCTTGAAAGCACAAGGTCCCAAGTTCAGTACCCAAAAAAAAAAAAAAAAATAGACTGGGCATCTAAATTTCTAAAAATCCTCCTCACTGATTTCCGCGATCACTTTTGGGTTGGTTTAATTTGTTGAGGGTTTTTTTTTTGGTTCTTTTTTTTTTTTGAGATGGAGTATCACTCTGTAGTCCAGCCTGGCCTCAAACAGCCTCCTGGGTACTGAGCTCACAGGTATGCAGCACCATGCCTGGCCACAATCACTTCTGAAATATCCAAATCTACCTACAAATTACACTGCTAAGACGCAGGGAGGAACAGGGCGCTGTGCCAGACAGTGATGGTCCAGGGGCATGCTTACCGCGTACTGTCTGAAACGTTCCACCTAGTGGCAATCACTTCTCAGTAACTTTACAATGAAATCCACACCTATAACCATCCCGAAGGACTCACACTCTTTTCTTGAAGTGCATCATTTTCACTCCCAGCTTCACAAGAGCCATGAAAGAAAACTGCACAAAACTGCAATCACTAGTTTACACTGACACCTACTCTCTGAAGGCCCGTAGGGTGGGACACCATCTCCCCCAACCCCGTTCTTTCTCTGAGCACTAAGGATCAGACCACATAGCCCATGCTGGCCTCAAACTTGAAACCCTCGAGCCTCAGCCTCCCAAGCCCTGGGATTACCAGCATGCCACTCCTCCTGGTTTAGGTATCATTTCCTTAAGCATAGTGACAAGAATATGGCTCAGTCTGTTCAAAAAAATTAACGTTCTTTTAGTTTATTTTATTCTTTTCCTTAAATAAGAAACAAGAAGTGACCAGGCATGGTGGTGCGTGCCTGTAATCCCAGCACTCCAGGAGGCTGAGGCAGAAGGATCCCAGTTTGAGCCCAGCCTGGGAAACTTAGCAATTTAGGAAGAAACCCAGTCTCAAAAATGAAAAAGGGCTAGAGAGGTACTGCCAAAAAAAAAAAGAAAGAAAGAAAGAAAATCATTATTCATTGGTCTTCAGATTCAAAAGCCTAACATGAGAAATTTCTGGAAAACACAACTTTCAATGTCCCTCGTGTCACACAAGCCAATTCACAAAGTCTGCACTACATCTTAACTCTCCTGGCCCCCTATGGAGATCGAACTCAGGACCTTGCACTTGTGAGGCAGCCACAGCGCCACTGAGCTAAATCTCCAGCCCATATTAATAACTCTCTTCATTTCACTAAAAGTTCAAGTTTCTAAGGGCCAGGTAATTAAGGAGAGAAGAGTTAAAAAAAGGTAGTTTGTGCTCTGGAAAAACACTCATGGTCTAGCATATTGCGACATGCTGGACCCAACATAACACAAATGCCCCAAGATGATAACTAATTTCAAACATACTGAGACCTCCCTAGCTGTGTGACCCTGGTGAGGTATTTAGCCTCTACTTAACAACAGTTTCTTCATCTTTTAGACAGGATGAGAACCTTTTTATCATCACTTCTTTTATCATCATCTTTCTGAAGCTAATTACCTTACTCCATGTTCAAGGTCTGATTCAGGACAGAAAAAGAGCCCAATTTTTGTGCCGGGATCTGAACAGTGAACTCCACATGCCGTGGTTTCAATCACTACGTCAGCTGTAATTTTAGATCTTACATGGCTTTCTTTCACAGCATCCCAAGATGTTCCTAACAGCAGAGACAGTTCACATGATTAATACTAGGCCCAAGTCAGCTGAAGTGTGTTAAAGTGACAACTGGACATCCATATAAAGAGATCATCCTTTACCGAGCACTACACAGAAAGGTTAATTGCAAATGAATCTACATAGCACTTCTTGCAGAGAACAGAAAAGAAAATGTTCAAGACCTTAGAGACAATGGATGAACTTATGTACAGGGCACAAAAAGCACCACCAACAAAGCAGAGACAAATCAGACTTCATCAACTTTAAAACTGTTTGTGTTGCAAATGATTTTGTGGACAAAGTGAAAAGGCGCCCACAGCATGGGATGTGTCAGACATATCTGATAAAGAGCTCCAACTAGAGCACACAGAAGCATGCTCAGCTAGACGACAACCCATAACTCAGACAAAAGAGCTGAACAAACACTTCAAAAGACACACGGAAGGCAAATAAAAACACGCAAAGACGCACAGTATCACCAGAAGCGCAAATCAGAACCACAAGGACATCCCAGCACACACCTATTAAAAAGGATGTAATTTAGAAACTGACAACATCAAGTACTTCCGGGGACACAAACAACCCGAAGCTCAACCGCTGCGGGCAGGAACTCAAGTGGCACAGTGACTTCGGAAGAGGACCCAAACAGTCTCTTACAAGGTTGAACCTTACCATGTGGCCTCGAGTCACACCCCTAGGCACCCACCCAGGAGAAGTAAACGACCACGTCTGCACAAAGACTTGGATGCCAGTGTTCACACCTGTATTCACAACGCACATAACTGGAGACAATTTAAACACCCTTCAGCAGCTGGGCATGGTGGTCCAGCCTGTGATCCCAGCACAGAAAGCCTGAGGCTGAGGCCGACTCACTGTGAGTTTAAGGCCAGCCTGGGCTACCTAGTGAGTTAAGGGCCAGCCGGAACCATACAGTGAGACCTCATCTCAAATTAATTAATTAATTAATTAATTAATTAATTAAAAAGAACGACTTTCAACAAGTAAATGAAGAAACAAATCCAGATACTACTAAGCAATAAAAAGGAGTGCACTACTGATGCCTAAAAAAGAATCCAATAACGGAATGACTAACAAAAGTGTTATGCTATGTGAAGCAAGCCAAATAAACCAAAAAAGCTGCATACTGAGCAAATACATTGCTATGATATTCTACAGGAAGCAGAACTATAGAGGCAGCTAGCAGAATGAGGTGAGCAGCAAGACAGCTGGCTGCAAAGGGACCCGAGGGATCTCAGGGCAGACAGAAACACGCCAGCGCCATGGAAACGCCGTTATCCTTGATGTGGCACCATACACTCCATACCTTAAACACTCAACGGGATGCAGGCAAGGGGCATGGGCACGCCCAGTGTGCACTGGGCCGCGCGAACTGCCTCCTCCAGCACTGACACACGCCCCCTCACCTTCCGGGCGTCAAGTGGAGCACACGGAGAATGAAATCCATTTGCCGCGAGCCTCTCCTCCAGAACTACCCGGCTCTCCCCACTTTAAGCCCAGGATTCCTGTCACCTCATCACCTCATCACCTCATCACCTCGCCCTCCGCTCCCCTCACTGAAAGCACCGTCAGATCCACCCCTTCTGCTCAGCCCCCTCCTCCTCAGCAGAACCGACTTCACACCCTCTTCCACTTGGTTTTAATCAAGACCCACTCCTTCCAATGAGCTGTCTCTTCAGCTTCAGTTCACGTCCAGATTTCAAGGAGTTTATGCTCCTAACAGATACCTTCCCACTTCCCAGCCCCATGCGTGCGCGAGTGTGTGAGCGCGTGTGCACATGTGCTTTTTTTTTTTTTTTTTTTTTTTTTTTGGTGTCACTGGGGATTGAGCTCAGGGCCTTCACACTGAGCAAGGCCTTTAAAAAAAAATTTTTAGGAGAGTCAAAATTAAGTCATTAAGTTGTCCAGGCTGGGCTTGAACTTAGAATCCTTCTGCCTCAATCTCCTAGAGTGCTGGGTTTCACATGTGCACCACCATATTTTATCTTTCTACTGTCCCAACAACTCTCCTTTAGGAGAAAAATCCTGAGTACTAGCTTTCCATCCCCTCAAAGAGCACTCATTAACAACAAATAAGTGGCACTGAATGCATGAATGAAGTAATTACTCAAATTGGAGAAAATTAGCAATATTCCTAAAATATTCTTTAATATGTTGACAATTTCCAATCTGACATACAAAACTGTCTGTCCCTTTCCCTGGGTGTAGTGGTGTATGCCTGTAATCCCAGCACTCGGGAGCCTGAGGCAGAAGGAACTCATTACCTAATGAGTTCAAAGCCAGCCCGAGCTAGACCTGTCAGCTCAGCTAGACCCTGTCTCAAAAAAAAGGAAAAAAAAAAGGAAAACTGTCCCTTTCAAGATCAAGAGAGATAGGCAACTTTGCAGGGGGAAATAGAACTTCAAGATCAGCCCTGTGACATTCCCCACAGGGTGGACCTGTAGCAGCCTGTTATATCACCTGAATTTACCAACCCTGACTTGTTCAGAGCTCACAAAGGTCCCTAATCTAAAGCAGCAAGTGAAGGCAGGATGGAGAAGAGGTTTCTCTGAGAAGCAAAGCCAGTGAGTCCTTCCATCTGGGCCCTACTGTGCCACTGCCAGCTGGGGCTTATGCCTTTTAGCCAGCAGCAGGGCTGTGCTTCCGTTACCTTGCTGGGTTAGTGTACAGGAGTGTCTTCCTTAAGCAGGACGTGTTCTCGCCCTTCAGGGTGATAACAGTCCACCTTAGTGCAAAAGGGCCCAGATGCTATCTGACCAGCTATTCAACATACCCAACTTTGAAGAAGCTGTGGCTAACATGCCTCTTCACAACAGCCCACCCTACCTCGAAGGATATATTTTTATCTGTTTGTTTGGAGACAGGGTCTTACTATGCAGTTCAGGATGGGCTTCGACTCACTACGTAGCCCAGGCTGGTCTCAAGCTCACAGCAAACCTCCTGCCTCAGCCTCTCAAGTGCTGGGATTACAGACATGTGCCACCATGTCTGACTATAGGGTTTATTAATTTTTATTTTTTCCTCCCTTTTTACTCTGCCCAAACTCACTCTGCAGAACCTGTTCTTCTGCAGGAGACCGCAATATTGATTATGACCAAAGCAGGCTGTAAGCACTGTAGGCTGTGAAGAGTTACCCCACAATTGGCTTGTTTTGAGAAGCGAGTCCAGCCGAAGCCTACATGCCAAGGTCAGAGTAACTTGCACCCAAATTCCATTCCCACAACTAAAACCTTCTTAACTAGAAGGACAATGTTTTAATTACAACCATGTATTTTGTCTATTCTGTTCCTAACTTGAAAATGCTTTGTCTACATTAGTTTCCATAGAAACTGAAGGACTGCACATCCTCGCATGTGGTTTCACCCTTGCATGTAGCTCGCCTTGACCTCAATTGATTACTAATAAAAATCAGTGGCTTGGGGCTGGGGATTTAGCTCAGTGGTTTCACTGCCTGTCTTAAAAGCGTCCAAGTTCAATCCCCGGTACCATAAAAAAAAAAAAAATCAGTGGCTTGGACTGGGCAGCACCTTTGTTGGTTACACTGGCAGTGGTCATCCTGGTGGCCCGTTTTGTGTCTCTCTTAGTTCTGTCTTTTAGGGTTTTCTTCCTCAGGCCTGCATCATACACTGGGCAGGAGACTGGAGCCTCTACAGAGGTTTCTAATAATGTTTCAGGGGTCCACAGTATTTCTCTTACCTTTCTGGGTTTTTTCCTATATTTAATAAATATGAAAGTTTTCCACCATTTAAAAAAAAAGTTGCCAATTAGTACCTTTTCCTTTTTATCTGTGCTATTAAAGTTATTAATTAGACAAGTAAAATGTCAGAGACTAGGTTATACGGGCAAATACACACATTTTGTTAAAAGAATGTCACATTTTCTATCTTTTCTAATCACAAAGTCCAAATTAATCACTCACCTTCATCATCATCATCTTTTTCTTTCTCCTCCAATGTTTGTCTTTCCAACTGTTTTGCTACCTCATCCACAGTGGCTCCTGATTCTTTATCAGGTTCCTGCTGCCCTGCAGATCAAATAAAACAGAAACAAATCAAATGTAAAAAGGACACTATCTCACCAAAATACATCTAATGATCCTGCAAAATTTACAAATCCTTTTCTGATAAGTGCTCAGGAAACCAAAACAGAACCATTACTGTGAATATAGTTTGTTAACACATTCACAAGGAGGACTTACCCAGCCACCACCAGATGAGACAGTCATGCATGTACCAGCAGTGGTACAACAGCAGGAATGTGACATTAAAAAAAAAAATCTTTCATATATAAATAGTATAATCCATTTGTTAATTCATTCAACGAGATATCCATTATATATGCTAAGAGATAAAGGCTAAATAAAAATGTCAGTTGGTTCCTATCCCTAAAAGTACTCAACATTAGACTATGTACAAATATTTTAACTGCCAGATAGATACTTAAGATTAGCTGTAATTGCTGAGGCCTTATGAAGAGCAAAATTCATGTGTAATACTCCCAGCTTATTGAAGAAAGAAGTCTCAGGATGGGTTGGATAAATCAGAATAAGAAAAGACAGCCCATTATTAAAATAGGAATTCTGGGGCCGGGGATTTAGCTCAGTGGTTCTGTCGCTTGCAAGGACCCAAGTACAATCCCCAGTACAAATAAATAAATAAATTCTAAGTCTGTG